GAATTACAGTATATTAACACTGTCACAGCAGGAACACATATAATTACCGTATCTCTAAAACTTGAACTAATATTGAAAAAATAAGTTTCATTCCGGTTTTAGCACATTAAAAATAGTAATATTTTGTTGATTTTATTTAGGATATTTTTTGGCTGTTGATTAGTGTTACCTGATCGTCGAGAATACCCGCCCAAATATTTATTTTAAAATGTTGTTGGAAATGACCTTCACGAATGGAATAAGGGTTTCTGGGGCCCACGTATGAGTATTATGGAAATTTAATATCCCATCTCGCGTAAAAGTACATTCGTGTGCCTAATTCCCGAGTGCTGATATCTGCATTGATTTCCACGATATTTAATATTTGTTCCTCCTGCTCTACAGTAACCTGTCTTTTACGAGTGCGAATATTAGTGGGCTGAACACTTCCTTTATCTCGAATTATTTGGTACACTTGCACAAATGTACTTCTGTCTGGGTGTACCCGTTGGAGAAATCTGTCGCGACAAATTTGAGTTGCAAGATTTGAATTCTGACGAGCTTCACCGTAAACTAACAACATGTCGGCGAACTCTCGATCCGAGAACATTGTAAATAAAGACGACGACGTACGCGAACAAAAACAAAACAACATGCCCGATGCCCGATAATTAACCACTGTTACCATTTGCGATCGATTGCCGATTCGATAAGAGTGATGAAAAGCCGACGCGCTGTTGTAATGTGTATTTTAAATATTTAATTCAATGAAACTTACTGACTACACATTTTGGCTTTACTTAGAACAACTTAATGCCATTTATTTGTTAATTACCCAATTTAAAAACGTTTTAGATTAGATTATAAAAATTAGTAAGATTGTGGTGATTGTGGTCGATATAAAGAACTTAAAGTTGTAAACTATAAAGCCATTTAGACAAAAATGTATTGACTTTTGGGCCATGGGTCATATGAACTTTTTGACTTGTTTTGACCCATTTGAATGACTACCATACCGTTTACACCCTGTATATTTATCTGCTTAGGTACACAACAATTTGGATCTAAACAAAACGCACAACGGTTTACATAGTTACAATACACATAACATGCATAAGTTAGTTATTTCTAAGCACCGTCTACAAAGAACTAGAAACGGTTCTAACGACTATGGAATCCACTTTTATAATTTTCTTCCTGAGGCACTCAGAATGTCTCGCCCCGGCTCATTTAAGTATAGAATTAAAGTTTACCTAATCTAGAAAACTTTTTATATCATCGAAGAATTTTCTTTTTCTTTTCGGATCTCTTATAATGGTGTTGTAGTGTTCTTGTTTCCTTTTACTCTAATTACGGTGGCACATCCCTTTATTTAGATTTTCTTCTTCAACCTGTTTGCAGCAGTATTCTAAATCATTTTCATCTGATGGTGTGAATAGAGATGACTAAAAAACAATGTTTAATTTTTTTTTGTCAAAAAATGCATTTTTGTGCAATCGGAACTTGTTAACAAATATAAGTACAGCTCTGAAATTGTGTGTGTGAATATTCCTCTTTTGTGGAAGAATGAAACAAGTGATTACTTTTATAGTTACAGTGGACCCCCGATAATCCGGACCCTGTCTAATCCGGCGCCCCCTATAATCCGACATGTCTTTGAATATTACATACATCAGTATTTGACAATCTTCGCTAATGTAGATCACGCAGGTTTGAACAGGTTACAACTTGTACGCGCCACCGCTATCGTGCTCGACGCGTAAGCATTGTTTTACTTAGTTTGAATTTGACTACTTGTGATAGCGGTACGGCCTAGCGTGCGTTCATTGTTTACTATTTATTCATTGTGTATCAAGTATAGTACCTAGTAATGTCATCACAAACTCAGAAGCGAAAGCACAAAAAAAACATTGACAATTAAAGAAAAATATGATATTTTAGACCGCTTAAATAGCAACGAAACGTTCAGTAGTTTAGCAAGTGAATACGGCGTAGGCCGATCTACAATTTATGACATTAAAAGAAACCACGAGAAGATCAAGAAGTTCGTGTCAACTACTGACTGCGGGCCGGGCAAGAGACAGACACTCAAGAAAGCTGAACATCCAGAAGTGGAAGAAGCTTTGTACATGTGGTTTCTTCAGGAAAGAAATAGGCATGCACCAATTTCAGGACCCATGTTGGCCATGAAAGCTAAGTTTTTTTATAAGGAAATAACAAAAAAAGATGATTTTGTTGCCAGCAAAGGATGGCTAGAACGTTTTAAAAGTAGTCATGGCATACGTTTAATGACTATTACAGGAGAGAAACTTTCTAACGATGCCACCTGCATAGAGCCCTTTAAATTAAGATGTTTGCAAAAGGTGAACGATTTAAATCTTGACCCGTCACAGATGTACAATGCAGACGAATCAGGGCGTGTGATGCCTAACAAAACTTTCGTTTCTTGTAACGAAAAATCCGTACCTGGACTAAAAGTAAGTAAAGAGCGTGTAACCATACTACCATGTGCTAACGCTGCGGGCACACACGCGCTTAAGATGATGGTCATTGGGAAATCTAATAAACCACGGACATTCAAAAACATTGATTAACCTGTACACTATTACGGACAAAAAAGTGCATGGATGACAAAAGACCTTTTCAAAAAGTGGTTTGATGAATGCTTCGTACCTGAAGTTTGAAAATGGTTAAAAGATCATAATTTTCCTCAAAAAGCGTTGTTGCTTCTTGATAGAGATGATCGATATATCGGTACCGGCGACCTTTCCCGGTGACTTGAATGGTCGCCGTTAGTGCCGGCGACCTGATTCTCCATGAAGCAGCGACCCAGATCGCTGTTTGGAAGTATCGGTATCGGTAACCACTGATCGGTAGCTGTTTCGGTCGCGGTCGCTGCCAGGAAGCATATACACATCGCGTTCGCGATCATCGCGCGGGAAGTACAGGGTCGCTACAGCGTAGCCTAACCTATTTTGTTAGTTTTTATTGTTATTGTTGTGAGTTCCTGTTTCATAGAAAAATGTTTCGTTTATTAAGCAATGTTTAACATATAAAAGAAGCATTTTTATACTACATTTGTTATGTTTTAAAAGTTTTATTTTGACTGGTAAAATAGTATTTTGTTTTACTTTTTAAGATTCATAGAAAGATATTTTTATGATTTTATGTGTTTTGTGCTCAATATTGTTAAAAACAAAAACCTTAAATATAGTTTAATTCAAATCTTCAGGAACCTGAACATCTACACCTCGTTAATATCAATGGATAACCGCCGCCAAATATCGAGTAATTTAATCAGTGCCAGGGAGTCGCTGGCTGGTGGCAGCGACCATAGATAAACAGTGACCTAAAGCGCTGCTAAATCTACCGGCGACTTTAAGGTCGCTGTCACCGGTATCCCGGCGACTTGCAAGTCGCTGCTAAGATCATCGCTACTTCTTGATAACGCTCCCGGTCATGCGTCTCAAGAAGAACTAACAACTGAGGATAAATGCATCACAGCGATGTTTCTGCCGCCAAATTGCACTGCACTGATTCAACCAATGGACCAGAATACCATTCAGTTTGTCAGGCAAGACTATAAGAAAATCCTACTTCTGAGAGCCGTATCAAAAAACCAACCCATAGAAAAAACTTTAAAAGAATTTAATATGAAAGACTTGGTTTTTACTCTTTGTCAGTCGTGGAATGCGTTACCGTCATCAACTATTAAATAGTCTTGGAAAAAGTTATGGTCAGATATAGTCACCACTCCTAGCAACGTTCCACAAATCAGTGTAATTTCGGAAGTTATAGAAAAAGTCGCTACTGAAACACAGATAAGTCCGGAAGATTTGGAAATCTGATGCCGTGGAATGGATAAAGAGGAAAATGTTTTTGATGAAATGTCTGACGAAGAGATTATAAAAGAGGTTTCTAATTATACAACAATCAGGAAAATAACGACGACGTGATTGCAACTGTTCCACAAGTCGCAGCACAAGACGCAATTAACGCCTTTGAGGTAGGTTTACAATGGGCTGAAGAGAATGGTACATCCTACAACGAACTTTTACTTTTGAGAAGTCTGAGAGACAAAGCTCTGATCTCGCGTTATAACAACCTTAAACAAAAAAAAAAATGATGAATATTTCCAAGCTTCATAATTATGATAAATTCATTAATGATTTTGATTAATAATTCTTGATTATTTTGGTACATATGTATGTGCATTTACGCTTAATTTTATAATAAAACGTAAGCTCTCTATTGTTATTTAATTTACTAAATTCGTCATACATAAACTATGTTGAATGATTTGTACTTCATATCTTACCATTGGATATGTAATTGTCGGATTACAAGGTACTCTTTTGTAAAATATTCCGGACTATAGGGGGTCTTAGGCAGTGCTCTATAATCCGACAAATTCGATAGTCTGACACTGCCCTGCATAATGTTTGTCGAATTACCGGAGGTCCACTGTATCAATTTTCCTTTACAAAAATATAAATTTCTCGCAGCAAGTTGAGTTTTCAAGAAAAGCAAAGGTTTTTCAAAGAGAAAAAGTGATCAGAATAGAAGTAATCACTTGTTTCATTCATCCATAAAAGTGGAACATTCACATACAATTTCAGAGCTGTACTAATATTTGTTAACAAGTTACGATCGAAGAAAAAATCTACAATGAAACGCATAAAAAATGCATTTTATGACAAAACAAAATTAAACACGATATTTTATTCATCTCTATACTCATCATGAAGCAATCAGATGAAAAGGATTTAGAATACTGTTGCAAACAGGTAGTTGAAAAAAGCGACGTATGGCCTTAATTTGCTCGGATTTGTTTGTTCTATAGTTTTGTATTTATTTTAAATTTCAAATTCATAATATTTTACAGTTATTCTGTTAATGTGTTTTTTCCATTAAAATTAATTGTTTTGTGAGTTTACACTTTTATAGATACTTTAACGTCTATTTTGACCTGTGTAAGAATGCAAGTGTATTAAGCACCGATAAAGAAATGAAATGCTTACCTTTATGAGTGCTTTAGCAATAAAGTCGTTGAACTCCTTTGACCATTTGGACGGCTGTTCCAGCTTCGGTGGATCAGACTTTTGAATCTTGAGCAGAACTCTCATCGGAGACATCTCATGATTCGGTGGCTCCATTTGAGCAAATTCTATCAGAGTTATACCCATCGACCATATGTCGACCTGAAAGAACGGAGTTTCAAGAATAAATGCTTTTGGAGCAAATTGAGGACATTATGTTTTTACATCCCACTTAAATCGACAAGTAATGTAATCGCAAAAATTTCATTTGTTTTATGAAGGAGCTGCTCATTTTTTGTTTGTTTAAAATTCATCTAGCATGATTGCTACAATTACATAAAAAACTACAACAATTACATAACATATATACTAAGTGACATATAAATCCGAACACCCAGTTTAAATGGTTTTATTTTAATAAAATTTTGTATAAGTACTTAATGAAGCATAATAAGTAAATGATAAAAATTTCAAAATGATTGCACTGCTTTAAAGCCCTTTGACCTGCACCCTGATGTGCTACGCATTCTCCAACGCGCCTAGGCATGCTTCTGATCAGGTGGTCAATGTCCTCCTGTGGTATCTCATTCCAGGCAACCACCAACTCCTCTCGAAGTGCTTCTAGAGTCTGAGGAGGACGTTGCAAATTGAGCAATCTCCTACCCATCATATCCCACACGTGCTCAATTGGGGATAAGTCGGGAGATCTTGGTGGCCATGGTAACAATGTGACATCATTATGTTGAAAGAAGTCTATTCTGACTCTTGCAACATGTGGTCGGGCATTATCTTGTTGGAAAGTTGGATCTGCCAGGGTGTCAAGATAGGGTAAAAGATGGGGTTCTAGAACTTCGTGGATATAACGCTGCGCGTTCATGTTACCTCTGATGAATATTAAAGGTGACCAGGAACCATAAGCTTTAGCACCCCAAACCATAACAGTGTGATGAACATGTCTTTCAACAAAAAACTGTGGATTCCTCCTTTCACCACGTCGCCTTCTAACCCTGGCACGACCATCGTGCATGCCCAAACAAAATCGAGACTCGTCACTAAAGACAATACTGTTCCATTCCTGATCCCAGAGTGACCGTTGTCTACACCACTCAAGGCAATTACGTCGGTGTTCTCGAGTTAAAGGGAGGACCCAGTGTGGCCGGTATGAAAACAAGCCGAAACTTCTCATTCGTCGGTAAACACTTCGCTTGCCAATAGGTCTTCCGTGTTCTGCAAACCATTCATTTGCAATGGACCTGGTAGTGGAGAAACGGTCCCTTAAGGCCAATAATCTTAGGCGGCGATCTTCACGGTCTGTTGTTCTACGGCGGCGTCCAGTGCCCCTTGCTCTTTGCGTACGGCCTTGTCGAAGCCATGCCTGACAACACCTAACCACAGTGTCTACACTTCTTTGCACTCTAACTGCAATTGCCCGAAAAGAAAGTCCAGCTTCCCGAAGTCCCACTATACGGCCCCTATCAAACTCACTAAGTTGACGAAATCGTACAGGTCTCCGTACTCTAGGCATCGTAACCGATCATAAAGGATGTCAAGAACCAAAATCCGCTAACGTTGATTCTCTACTGCGGCTGAAATATTCATTTTTAGAGCGTTAGTGAATTAAAAAAAAGCAGTATAAAAACCGGAATGTCCACTGATAAGGCTGAACATTTTTTCACTTGTTATTTACAGTAAGATAAATACATTCACCAACTTTTATTAAAATAAAACCATTTAAACTGGGTGTTCGGATTTATATGTCACTTAGTATACATATATTTGTAAAAACAAAATTTGCATCTCTAAGAATTTTCACTGCACATAAAATATGTCTTTAATTTTCTTTTAAACATCTTTAAATTACAATTTATATCACCATTTAATTAATTGAATTAAAGTATTCCTTTCTGAAATATTGATTTGCTAGATATATTACTACATATTGCAATTTTGTAAATGAAAATCTATATTTCCTGTTTTATAATGATTATTCAATTCTATGGAGAGTTCTGAATGATTTTTTATTTTAAATATAAAAATATGAACCAAATATGATATGGAATTTTTCGCCCCGTTGCGTAGGAAGAATAACTCATGACTTTTGAAAAATTGAAACGCAAAATTCACAGATTGTCCAAATATATTGTAATAGAAATATATGGGTAATGTCCAAAACGGACGCAGGAAAGTAAACGCATATTAAAACAAGAAAGATTGATATTCAAATCAAGTTGGGTACTTTATTTTGAAGGTTCATTTATACCATTTATGTATGAAAAATAATATCGCTCAAATGTTCACCACGACTGGATTTACAGACGTCCACGCGATGGTCGAAATTTTCAATGACATTTTGCAACATGGTCGGTTCTATGGCATTTATCTCGGCAATGATGTTGTTTTTGAGTTCTTGGAGGGTGGCTGGTTTGTTGACGTAGACTTTGCTTTTCAAATATCCCCATAAAAAGAAGTCCAAGGCAGTCAAATCGCACGATCTTGGTGGCCATGGCACATTTCCTCTGCGCGAAATCGCGGGATCACCGAAGAAGGACTGCAATAGATGGATATTGACGTTGGTTGTGTGGCATGTTGCACCGTCTTGTTGGAAATAAACATCGTCCATATCCATTCCTTCAAGTTGCGGCAAAAAATAGTCCCCTATCATCACGTGATATCGCTCAGAATTGACGGTAACGGCGTCCCCGGCCGCATTTTCGAAAAAGTAAGGTCCGATGATGCCTTTTGACCACAATGCACACCACACAGTCACTTTTTGAGGATGCATCGGCTGCTCTTGATACTCACGGGGATTTGCGTTCGCCCAGATGCGGCAGTTTTGCTTGTTTGCCGTCCCATTCAAAGTGAAATGCGCTTCGTCGCTGAACATGATTTTTGATGAAAAATTGGCATCAATTTGGCGGTGTTCAAGGAGCCAATCTGAGAACGTTCGGCGCGAAAAATGGTCGGCCCGACGCAGCTCTTGCGTCAATTGGATCTTGTAGGCGTGTACATTCAAATCCTTGTGGAGAATGCTGAGCAAACTGGTTCTCGAAATGCCCAATTCTTGGGATCGACGCGTTGTTGATTGTTTCGGATCGTCTCTCACACTCTCCTTCACAACAGCAATATTTTCCGGTGTGCGAACGCTCCTTGGCCGGCCAGAGCCTGGCAGATTTGTCACAGAACCTGTTGCCTCGAATTTACGCACCAGACGACCGATGGTTGTTTCGTTTTTTTTTTTATTTTTGCACCATTTTTGTAGTGCTCTTGAATAACTTTAATGCGGTCTTCAATCCAATAGGACTCCATAGCGATCAATGGTAAACATTCAACTAACAAAATGACATGTCGGTGACAGAAAACAAAGATGGCGTCTATGTCAAATTGACGTTTACTTTCCTGCGTCCCTATTGGACAACCCTGTATTTTTAGATTTGTACATTGCAGATTCATGGACTTCATAATTTTTGAACCACCCTATAGCATTCGAAAAAAGGCAATACATAACGAAATACGCATACTAAGTGTCAACAATTATAGCTGAGATTTTCATTTTATTGATAAGAAACGGTTGAACTTACGTCTAGACAGAAGTGCGAGATTAAATTAACTCGGCTATAAATCTATTTTGTAGTATCGTGATATATTACCTTCGAAATAAAATCCATATGCACCCACGTACACTTCTAATAATAGCTCAAGTCTTTGCAATATCTATTTATAGGCGAAAAGAAGTGGTACCGCAATAACTAATTATAAATAAAAATTATTCATTGGCCTGATGGAAATTAACCTTTAAGTATAACAATCCAAGAAATATAGCATATCATAAACGATTCATTCTGAAAGTTGAACGAAAAGGAGTCAATACCTCAGTCATATTTTCACATTGTGAAACAGTCATAACAATGTTCCACTATTCAAAATGTGATTGAGCCAGTCATTTGATCGTTCAATCAATGTTGAAAGAAAGATATCTCAAACAATGCCGTCAAGTAGACTGACTCTATACTTCCTACGCCTTCGTTGGAGGTTTCAAAAAGGGATTAGTCAAATCGTTTCAAAAGGCGAAATCGAATCGTGATTAGGTAGGTTCACTCAAGTACGGTGCGTTTCCAAGGTAGATGTAGGGAAAGTATGTGCGACTTACTCTGTCTAAGAGGTGCATAGTATCACTGGGATCACCAGCTTATTAGTAAAATAAGGTACTGACGCAAAATATTCAACAATTTACCCCACACTGCTTTCAACGTACAATTTCCATCCCCTCCAAGGTCTAAAATGAGCAGGAATCTCTGAAACGTGGTAACACCATGTTACAGCGATTTTATTTCCGCCGCCTCTGAATCAATTTCCAAAATCCACGACTACCTAAACGATGGAATTATTAAACTCGCGATAATATTAGAACTTCGGTCCGCAAGTTTTCTGCAGCTCAAAGATATCTGGATCAGTCAAGGCCGTGTTTCTCATCTATGCCGGTTTGTCATTCTGTGTCTGTTGTATATCAATGCGTCATAAGTACTGAGACAATATACTTGACGAAATATTAAACCCCCAAGTTTCGACCCCTACAAAAAAACTTCCGAATTAGATTAGAAATCTCAGAAACGTGAAAAAACGAAGTTTAAGCCAATTAATGTACTGCTAGATGTCGAGAAGCTCTTAGAAGGAATCATAATATATGAACAAGTCATTGAATATATTGAAGAAAATAAGATATTGACAAAATTTAAAGCACGATTCAGAAAAAAGTATTCTACTGAAACAGCAATTCAAATGCTAGTAAAAGAATTGAGTCGAAATATGGAAGACAAAAAGTTTACAGTAACATTGTTCTTAGATTTGAGACTATTGACAGGGAGAAATTGTTAAGAAAATTGCATTGCTATGGATTTCAAGGTTCTGTATTCAACTTATTACAAAATTATTTAATCAATAGAAGTCAAAGAACTAAAATTGGCAATACATTATCAAACATTAAATACATTTCGGTAGGTGCGCCACAGGGTAGCAAATTAGGTCCATTACTATTTATTTATTTAACGATATTCCTGATATTTTACAACACTCCAACATTCAACTATTTGCTGATGATACATATTATATATATATATATAACTTGAGACGTGGTCATTGTCGTCTAGACCAGTTAGGTGAAAAATTAAAGCTTCCGCCTTTTGTTGGGTACTTCGACAAAATTTAAGCAAAGAGGACTCTTTATACTTTTTTAATTCTCTCTAGCTTTCAATGGACTTTGCCATCATCATCAGGAGCTGCAATTACAATGATAACAGTAGCAACAAAAGTGTAAAATGAATTTAAAATTGACTCAACTTACAGTAGTATGTGAGGATGTTGCTAATTGTTGTTTACGTATAGGATGAGGGAAACGTCCAGTAACATGGTGAGAGCTGGATACATGGTACAATGGTCAAAATTATATAAAATATGACAAGACAAGTTAAAAACAGATTAAAAATTATTTAAAAAACATTAGAGCATTACGTCGTGAAGCCACTTGATGATTGCACAAAATGGTGGTCATGGAATAATGAGTGAGATGAACCTTTGACAGAAGGCCGAAGGTTGTCAATGTCTGTGTTGAAAGATGGAACGAATTGTGGGCGTGTGCCAAACGTTGCCAAATCACGTCAGATGATGTGATTTTCAGAATGTTATGTAAGAAATTGTTAAACCGACCAGAGGCAGTTGAATAAACTATATTTTAATTAATGGGAATTTTAAATTAACAATTATTGATAAATCGTGAGAAGAGAATTATTAGATTTTGAGTGGAATGAAATTTGTTGGTGAAATCGGCCAAAACATAGATTATATTTATGGTTGTGAAAAGTCGAAATTTGGGGAGATATGTAAGTTCTCCAATTTTTCGCAGTTTAGCAAATATGAGTAAATGACACTCAGTTGTTTAATATCTGTCTTTTTGTTGATACAGTTGTTATTCATGAAAATGTGGGACATTTCCAGGAATAAACGTTTGGAAAGGTATTTTTCTTTATCAAGAACTTTGATACTTGTGTAATTCATAGAATGCCCTGTTGTGTTAACATGAGATGCCAGAGCGCATCTTTCAGGATGAAGCCTACAATCACTTTTGTGTGATGTAATCCTTCCTTTAAGAGATCTGGAGGTCTGACCTATGTATATTAGGTTGCAGTTGTTGCAATTGATGGAGTAGACTGTGTTGGTTAAGCCAAGCAGCGGTACTTTGTCTTTCATTTTTGAAAAAATGCAGTTTATAGTGAGGACGGATTTGCAAGCAATTCGAAAGTTCAAAGGACTGCACAATCTGATCAGCTTAGGGGTCAGTTCCTTGATATAGGGCAGGACAGCAAAACCAGGTCTGGAGTCCGGGTTGGTGCTTGTACTGTTTGGATTGATGCTATTATTGGGAATTACATCAGTTCCGTTATTATTAGGGGTTGTGCGACTATTACCTGCATCACCAGAGTTCGGCAAAATATTGGAAGGTGAATTAAATAAGATCTTGTTAATCAGACACTTCGGATAACCATTATTGATGAACAGTTTTTCTCAATTTTAGGTCATACCATAAGCTAGGGATTAAAATCAATTTGGTGAAACAGATGAAAACAAGAGTAATCAGCATCTCAGATAATACTTTCCACACCTCAAATTTACGTAAACTATCAAAACTGTTCATCAATAATGGTTATCCGAAGTGTCTGATTAACAAGATCTTATTTAGTTCACCTTCCAATATTTTGCCGAACTCTGGTGATGCAGGTAATAGTCACACAACCCCTAATAATAACGGAAATGATGTAATTCCCAATAATAGCATCAATCCAAACAGTACAAGCAACCCAGACTCCAGACCTGGTTTTGCTGTCTTGCCCTAAATCAAGGAACTGACCCCTAAGCTGATCAGATTGTGCAGTCCTTTGAACTTTCGAATTGCTTGCAAATCCGTCCTCACTATAAACCGCATTTTTTCAAAAATGAAAGACAAAGTCCCGCTGCTTGGCTTAACTAACACAGTCTACTCCATCAATTTCAACAACTGCAACCAAATATACATAGGTCAGACCTCCAGATCTCTTAAAGGAAGGATTACATCACACAAAAGTGATGCTAGGCTTCATCCTGAAAGATGCGCTCTAGCATCTCATGTTAACACAACAGGGCATTCTATGAATTACACAAGTATCAAAGTTCTTGATAAAGAAAAACACCTTTCCAAACGTTTATTCCAGGAAATGTCCCACATTTTCATGAATAACAACTGTATCAACAAAAAGACAGATATTAAACAACTGAGTGTCATTTACTCATATTTGCTAAACTGCGAAAAATTGGAGAAATTACATATCTCCCCAAATTTCGACTTTTCACAACCATAAATATAATCTGTGTTTTGGCCGATTCCACCAACAAATTTCATTCCACTCAAAATCTAATAATTCTCTTCTCACGATTTATTAATAATTATTAATTTAAAATTCCCATCAATCAAATATAGTTTATTCAACTGCCTCTGGTCGGTTTAACAATTTCTTACATAACATTCTGAAAATCACATCATCTGAAGTGATTTGGCAACGTTTTGGCACACGCCCACAATTCGTTCCATCTTTCAACACAGACATTGACAACCTTCGGCCTTCTGTCAAAGGTTCATCTCACTCATTATTCCATGACCACCATTTTGTGCAATCATCAAGTGGCTTCACGACGTAATGCTCTAATGTTTTCTAAATAATTTTTAATCTGTCTTTAACTTGTCTTGTCATATTTTATATAATTTTAACCATTGTACCATGTATCCAGCTCTCACCATGTTACTGGACGTTTCCCTCATCCTATACGAAAACAACAATTAGCAACATCCTCACATACTACTGTAAGTTGATTCAATTTAAATTCATTTTACACTTTTGTTGCTACTGTTATCATTGTAATTGCAGCTCCTGATGATGATGGCAAAGTCCATTGAAAGCTAGAGAGAATTAAAAAAAGTATAAAGAGTCCTCTTTGCTTAAATTTTGTCGAAGCACCCAACAAAAGGCGGAAGCTTTAATTTTTCACCTATATATATAACCCCAACTAACAATTATCACTCCTATTAGAGTTGCAAGAATGATTATACAGTATTCATTACACAACATTGTATACTGTAAACACATTGGCAAAACCATCTTAGAACAGCTATTCAAGCGGGCACACCTAATAGGACACTTCAGTTATTTAAGAGGTTGTATAAGGGCTGCAGTTAACAGTTATACAACAAAAGTGTAAGCCTCTTGCAGCCTCTATAGGACATGTGCGTCAGTGCAAGATTCAGTTTTTGTCAACTGTACAACTATTCTGTTACGTGATTCTACTTTACTGCAACCAAACTATTTCTTATGTATTGTATAGACGAAGTGAAGAATATATAACCAACACATTACAGTCATCTTGTTTACTTACATATCGGCCATTGTGAATTTCATACACAGGTATATGATAAACTTCTACACTGTGATATAGGGCTATTGAATTACTTGCGCAGCAAATTTTATCGTGATTATCGTGCAAAGTAGTTACGCAATTTCTACGGGCTTCGTATTTGATTCATATTTTAATAATGATCAAAAGTATGTCTATATTTTTAAGATGGAAAACTGAACTTATCTGCGTTAAATCTTCCGCAAATCCTATATTTAGTCAAAATTACACTTCATATCTGTAATTTCGAACTGAAACATAATTATTTAATATTAAATAGAGGAATAAATGTTTGCCCAAATATGGCGGGTGGTTGTGTATAATCATGGCATCGTCCATGTTTTCTTTGGTTTATTAGAATATTTTGGTGTTGCCTGCAGGTGTTATACAACAATTTGTACCAGATCTATATCTTCTGTTTGAACAGTTGATAAAACCTTTTGAACCAATATTCATGCTTTGTTTGTTATAGCATTTTAACAAAAATATGACAGCAGAAAGGTAGGTTATGGTGAAGTTGTATACCAACATATTTAGCAACAAATGTATGCCGAGCACAGCAATTTTGTACTACAAAAGTTGTAATATTGTTGCATTTGTACAGCCTTTAACATTTACTAGACAACAGTCCTATAAGTGCTTCCGTTGGGAGCAATTTGTTGGCTAAAGTAGTAAATTTGCACAGCAAAACAACTAGGCTCGGGTTTGTTTTATGAACGTTACCATGGATGCCACAACACAACCATTTTGACTAACCTGCAAATATGCCGTATAAAATCGTTGTATAAACGTTTATACAGCAGTAAAAAATGTGTCCTATAAGGTGTTGTGTAACTATGCTATAAGAATATTTTAAACACCTCATTTTAGAGCAAATATGTTGCAGAAAGCAAATTTGCATTCCACAAAACATTAAGCCAGCATTTTGGTGTTCAGGCAACAACAATAGAGAGCTTTTATGGCTGAACGGTTCTTTTACCAAAAGCTTATAGCACTACTTTGCTAGTTGGGGAGTGTCGAATTTGAAATACCCGGCGTTGAACGATTTGGCGGATTTAAACAGAACACAATCCAAATGAATCTGAGTCTAACTGAATTGCAATGGAAGTACCGCCATTTTTATTCAAGTGGCCCATTAAATTACTAATTACAAACATATCTTAAAGCTCAGCTTACCTTGTAGTCGTACGGATTGTCACGGAAAGTCTCACAAAGAACCACCTCGGGCGCCATCCAATACGGTGTACCAATGAAGGTGTCGTGTTTCTGGAGAGTATTCTTGTTTTTAGCAGATACCCCAAAATCAGCTGAAATACAAATATAAGTATTTATTTCAATTGCCTGCCATTTTTTTGTTTCCTCGTGACAAAAAATAACAATCTAAAAAGCTATGGAGGTAGATTATATTGAATTCATTAGTAAGCATAGCAATCCAATTCAAAAACTGCCAGATACAATTTTTTGAAAGTGTGATCCTGAAAACTATTGGAAAAACACAGATAAGGAGTCCCAGAAATAACACGCCAGAGTGACACGGGAGGTATATTGGCTTCAGATCAATCAGATAAAATCAACATGACCTTAGTTTTCTAGTTTTCGAGATAGTGAGACTTCTAAGTTTTTTTAAAAAATGCAATGTTGTATATTCAACTTTTTATTTATTATTGTGTAGCTCTTATATATGTGTACACACATGTTAAAAGTTAAAAACAGATTAAAAATTATTTAAAAAACATTAGAGCATTACGTCGTGAAGACACTTGATGATTGCAATCATCATATATATATATATATATATATAGGTGTTGTTATTGCCCTATATCAAGGAACTGACCCCTAAGCTGATCAGATTATGCAGTCCGTTGAACTGTCGAATGACTTGCAAATCCGTCCTCACTATAAACTGCATATTTTCAAAGATGAAAGACAAAGTCCCGCTGCTTGGCTTAACCAACACAGTCTACTTTATCAATTGCGACAATTGCAACCAAATATACATAGGTCAGACCTCCAGATCTCTAAAAGGAAGGATTACAGCACTCAAAAGTGATTCTAGGCTTCGTCCCGAGAGATGCGCTCTAGCATCTCATGTTAACACAACAGGGCACTCTAAGAACTACACAAGTATCAAAATTCTTGATAAGAAAAACACCTATCCAAACGTTTATTCCTGGAAATGTCACACATTTTCATGAATGACAACTGTATCAATAAGAAGACAGATGTTTAAGCAACTGAGCGTCATTTACTCATATTTGCTAAACTGCGAAAAAATGGTTCACTTACACATCTCCCCAAATTTTAACTTTTCACAACCATAAATGGAACCTGTTTTGTGGTCTATTCCACCAAAAATTCCATTCCATTCAAATTTGAATAATTGTTTTCCCATAATCAAATAATAATTGTTAATTCAACTGCCAATCTCATAATAATATAGTTAGTTCAACTGCTTCTGGTCGGTTTGACAAGTTCTTACCGAACATACCTTGAAAATCACACCATCTGAAGTAATTTGGCAACATAGCACACGCCTTACAAAAGAATTTTCGTTCCGTCCATCTACACGGACACTGCTAACCTTCGGCCATCTGTCAAAAGGTTCATCTTACTCATGATTCTATGCCCACCATTTTGTGCAATCATCAAGTGGCTTCACGATGTAATGCTTAACTATCGTTTTAAATATTTTTAATCTGTTTTTAATTTGTTCTTGTCAAACAGCTGTGCGAAGTTTGTATAATTTTGACTATTGTACCGTGTATCCAGCTTTCACCATGTTACTGGGTGTTTCCCTCATCCTTAACGTAAATTACATTTAGCAACATCCTCACATACTACTGTAAGTTAATTTAAATTCATTTTGCACAATTGTTGCTACTTTTATCAATGTAATTGCAGCTCCTGATGATGATGGCAAAGACCATTGAAAGCTAGAGAGATTAAAAAAGTATAAAGAGTCCTCCTTGCTTAAATTTTGTCGAAGTACCCAACAAAAGGCGGAAGCTTTAATTTTTCACCTAACTGGTCTAGACGACAACGACCACGTCTCAAGTTATATGTTTATGTATATATGTGTATATAAGAGCAATATTGATTCCAAAAGTGTGGCTAGATCTGTTTATAGAATGTGTTTTTCTTTGTACGCCCTGTATAGTTTTTAAATTTTAAAAGCATAATCTGTACATGTATGTTTTCCCGCGAATGCCTGTGTTGCTCTATGTTATTCAGCATATGTATACTTTTTTTTGTCTACCTCACATTGATTTTGACATATGTAATATATATTTATTTATTATACGGATTTTTCTTTGAAAATAAAAGACGCTTTATTGTTATTATTATCAGCCGATGAACAGCGTCATCGAATCTGTCAAGCAACACGCAAAATATCCGATTTAAGTTTGAGACGTTTAAAAGGACAATTTTTAAGAAGATGCAGGTTGTGTATAAAAGTTGGTGGTACACATTTTGAAAATTGTGAAAATAATAATAATGATAATAATAACCATTTATTTCAGATAATATTCACATTACAAGATTTAATTTAATTTGAATGTTATAAAAATCAATGGAAATAAAAAAAATACAATTTAATGTTCTGTTCATTATTTTGATGTCAGCATACAACAATGCATAAAAAATGATAATGGATAGCTGTTTTATACATTTGCTCAAATAAAAAGCTATACTAAGTGACATATAAATCCGAACACCCAGTTTAAATGGTTTTATTTTAATAAAAGTTGGTGAATGTATTTGTCTTACTGTAAATAACAAGTGAAAAAATTTTCAGCCTTATCAGTTGGACATTCCGGTTTTTATACTGCTTTTTTTAATTCACTAACGCTCTAAAAATGAATATTTCAACCGCAGTAAAGAATCAACGTTGGCGGATTTTGGTTCTTGACATCCTTTACGATCGGTTACGATGCCTAGAGTACGGAGACCTGTACGATTTCGTCAACTTAGTGAGTTTGATAGGGGCCGTATAGTGGGACTTCGGGAAGCTGGACTTTCTTTTCGGGCAATTGCAGTTAGAGTGCAAAGAAGTGTAGACACTGTGGTTAGGTGTTGTCAGGCATGGCTTCGAGAAGGCCGTACGCAAAGAGCAAGGGGCACTGGACGCCGCCGTAGAACAACAGACCGTGAAGATCGCCGCCTAAGATTATTGGCCTTAAGGGACCGTTTCTCCACTACCAGGTCCATTGCAAATGAATGGTTTGCAGAACACGGAAGACCTATTGGCATGCGAAGTGTTTACCGACGAATGAGAAGTTTTGGCTTGTTTTCATATCGGCCATACTGGGTCCTCCCTTTAACTCGAGAACACCGACGTAATCGCCTTGAGTGGTGCAGACAACGGTCACTCTGGGATCAGGAATGGAACAGTATTGTCTTTAGTGACGAGTCTCAATTTTGTTTAGGTATGCACGATGGTCGTGCCAGGGTTAGAAGGCGACGTGGTGAAAGGAGGAATCCACAGTTTTTTGTTGAAAGAGATGTTCATCACACTGTTGGAGTTATGGTTTGGGGTGCTATAGCTTATGGTTCCAGGTCACCTTTAGTCTTCATCAGAGGTAACATGAACGCGCAGCGTTATATCCACGAAGTTCTAGAACCCCATCTTTTACCCTATCTTGACACCTTGGCAGATCCAACTTTCCAACAAGATAATGCCCGACCACATGTCGCAAGAGTCACAATAGACTTCATTCAACATAATGATGTCACATTGTTACCATGGCCACCAAGATCTCCAGACTTATCCCCAATTGAGCACGTGTGGGATATGATGGGTAGGAGATTGCTCAATTTGCAACGTCCTCCTCAGACTCTAGAAGCACTTCGAGAGGAGTTGGTGGTTGCCTGGAATGAGATACCACAGGAGGAGATTGACCACCTGATCAGAAGCATGCCTAGGCGCGTTGGAGAATGCGTAGCACATCAGGGTGCATCCACACATTATTAAAGGTCAAAGGGCTTTAAAACAGTGCAATCATTTTGAAATGTTTATCATTTACTTATTATGCTTCATTAAGTACTTATACAAAATTTTATTAAAATAAAACCATTTAAACTGGGTGTTCGGATTTATATGTCACTTAGTATATTTACAGCAACTACAAAGTAATTTGGACACAAAAGACACGTGCACGTATTATTTTTGACTTGTAGTATTTCGCAAGTAGTACGACTTCAATGACAAAAGTTGGAATTATTCAGAACCTACAAATGTTATACTACTTTTGAAAGAGTATTAAATAGTTAGTTTTTAAGGTCATTTACAGATTCATTCTTGTACATTTTTTCACAGTAATTAGTCAAAAAAATCATGCTGGAAGTCCTTTATAGCCATAACAAGTAAAAAAATGAGCAAAGAGTAGTGGTTTTTAGGCAAAACTTAAAAGTTCCAGTATCTCGAAAACTAGAAAACTTTTACTAAGGTCATGTTGATTTTATCTGATTGATCTGAAGCTTACGAGCCCCTTCCCACTTCAGTTGGCCCACTCCAAGATTTGTACCAAAATATGCCTTTATAAACTAAACATGACGAAACTATTTACTTCTAAAACAATTTATTTTCTCAAAAACATTTTAGATACACTCTATCGTAAAGAATACATATTTGAAATCACTTAGACAAATAAACAATGTGCGAATAAATGCGCGAAGTTCACAAAGCAACAATTGAAAGATGACCATTGGGTAACATCACCTTTATTTTTTATTACGGCTGAAATTCTTTGGGGCATAGTGTTAACCAAGTTTTGGCAAAAATTTGGTGTAAAACAATCCCATATTTCTTGAAGCTTTGGTCTCAGTTCGGTGATTGTACGAGCAGGATGTTGCGGTAGAACCTTTTTCATCTCGTGCCACAATGTTTCAATAGGTGACAGATCTGGACTGCTAGAAACCCATTTCAAAAGTGGTACATTATTTTCTTCCATCCATTTTATAGCCTTTTTTCAGGTATGGCACGCTGCACCATCTTGCTGAAACACAAAATCTTGGCCGGATGTCAAACATTCTTCCATCACTGGTAAAAGCGATTCTTCTAAAATTGCCAAATATTTGTTTGTATCCACAATTCCATCAATAAAATACAGTTTTCCTACTCCTTTTGATGACGTACTGCCCCAGACCATAATGGATGCTGGAAATTTCACTTTTCTCTTCAGCCAGTCAACACGGAATGCTTCATTTTTTTGCGAATAACTCTACTGCGACTGTCACTAACACAAACTTCGAATCGGGCCTCATCACTCCATTGTATTGCACACCATTTTTGAGGTGTCCATTGTATATGTTCTTTAGCCCATCTAAGCCGATTTTTCTTTTGCAGTGGAGTCAATAGTGGCTTTTCTTTGTCCTATAAACAAGTTGTGCAACTTTAGGGTTTTTACTTCACTTTTTTTATAAGAAAACTTACCTTGCAAGTGCTACATCCCAGTTTGTGGGCCTCTCTATGAGTTGTGGACCTCGAAATTCTCCTTCCAACATCATCACTCCACAGAGCACTTAATTGTAAATAATTGGCACGCCTGTTTTTCACGATTATTCTTCTTCTTCAAACCTATAACACCCTGCTGAATTTTTATTATTTGTGTTTGATAAGAAAAAAACTAAGATTTCAATAGTTGGGCCAACTGAAGTGGGAAGGGGCTCGTATACCTCCCTTGTCACTCTGCCGTTTTATTTCTGAGACACCCTGTATATTGCAGTAATGAAAAATATTTCGTACTGACGTAACAACACTCACAGCTAATAGATACAACTATACGAGCATTTCACATTTCTATGATAAATATCAGTTTTACTGAAAATACACATAAAAATATGTCGGAATTTCAATGTCTCTTGTAGTAAAAATGGGGACAACCGAATAGAAACGGAAATTAAAAATTCTCAACATTTACTTGTTTGCTTATTTATAATTCCAAGAGCATGCTGAAAACATGCAAATTTGATTTCTCTTTGGCGACGTTTAGCGTTTATCTACAAATTTTTTAACGGTACATATTGAAGATTTAGAACAGGAACATATTGTTGCGATGATTACACCGCATCGATATGGAATTTGACCACCAGACAATTTTACGATACGAAATTTTGTGCTAAATTTCTTACAGAATTAAGGGTAGTGTCAGACAGCATTTAGTAGATAATTTTGTATGAATAAATTTAGTGCTAAATTTTTAGAACTTGTTCCAAGTAATATCACGCTACATGACAAGGAATTACATATTTAGTCACCCACGCAGCTGCGCAGGCAGAAGCCTGAATGACAAAGAAATTTGGCTAATCCGATTTTTTAACTGCCCAAGGTTAGTAAAACCGAGAAAAGCCTCCTCTTGTCGCCAAGATTACGATAGAAGGCCGAAGTCAGGCGGGTCTGTTTAGCAGGCCCATCGCGCGGCGACATCATGGAGGAGAGCTCTGAGAAGCAAAGCCCATTGGTGTAGCGGTCATCGAGCATAGATGATCTAGTCGGGGCGGCAGCACCCCAAACATGTGAGCAATCCTCAAGGTTAGGTCTTATCTGGGTTTTGTATAGAGTGAGTGAGTCCTCATCCTTGCTTTCTGTATCTGGACTCCGACCAGCCGAAATGGACGGCTCTTTGGCAGAAGTCGGATATCCATCGAAACCGAATGAGCGCTAGGCTTTTTTCCGTCAAGGTACAGTACTGTGTTTGGGAAGCATTCAACTTCGGAATCCCATGTTATTGTTGAGTGATTTTTTTAACCAAATTGTGATAGTGATAAGAAAATAAGAATGTCAGCTTATTTATTTAGCTTCACTGAATAACATTTGTATTCTGAGATAGATTCACGGCAGCCTGTATGCCAAAAAAGTTACGTCTTCATCATCTCTAGAAATATACTAAGTGACATATAAATCCGAACACCCTGTTTAAATGGTTTTATTTTAATAGAATTTTGTATAAGTACTTAATGAAGCATAATAAGTAAATGATAAAAATTTCAAAATGATTGCACTGCTTTAAAACCCTTTGACCTTTAATAATGTGTGGATGCACCCTGATGTGCTACGCATTCTCCAACGCGCCTAGGCATGCTTCTGATCAGGTGGTCAATGTCCTCCTGTGGTATCTCATTCCAGGCAACCACCAACTCCTCTCGAAGTGCTTCTACAGTCTGAGGAGGACGTTGCAAATTGAGCAATCTCCTACCCATCATATCTCACACGTGCTCAATTGGGAATAAGTCGGGAGATCTTGGTGGCCATGGTAACAATGTGACATCATTATGTTGAAAGAAGTCTACTCTGACTTGGATCTGCCAGGGTGTCAAGATAGGGTAAAAGATGGGGTTCTAGAACTTCGTGGATATAACGCTGCGCGTTCATGTTACCTCTGATGAAGATTAAAGGTGACCTGGAACCATAAGCTATAGCACCCCAAACCATAACTCCAACAGTGTGATGAACAAGTCTTTCAACAAAAAACTATGGATTCCTCCTTTCATCACGTCGCCTTCTAACCCTGGCAGGACCATCGTGCATGCCTAAACAAAATCGAGACTCGTCGCTAAAGACAATACTGTTCCATTCCTGATTCCAGAGTGACCGTTGTCTGCACCACTCAAGGCGATTACGTCGGTGTTCTCGAGTTAAAGGGAGGCCGGTATGAAAACAAGCCAAAACTTCTCATTCGTCGGTAAACACGTCGCATGCCAATAGGTCTTCCGTGTTCTGCAAACCATTCATTTGCAATGGACCTGGTAGTGGAGAAACGGTCCCTTAAGGCCAATAATCTTAGGCGGCGATCTTCACGGTCTGTTGTTCTACGGCGGCGTCCAGTGCCCCTTGCTCTTTGCGTACGGCCTTATCGAAGCCATGCCTGACAACACCTAACCACAGTGTCTACACTTCTTTGCACTCTAACTGCAATTGCCCGAAAAGAAAGTCCAGCTTCCCGAAGTCCCACTATACGGTCCCTATCAAACTCCCTAAGTTGACGAAATCGTACAGGTCTCCGTACTCTAGGCATCGTAACCGATCGTAAAGGATGTCAAGAACTAAAATCCGCCAACGTTGATCCTTTACTGCGGCTGAAATATTCATTTTTAGAGCGTTAGTGAATTAAAAAAAAAACAGTATAAAAACCGGAATGTCCAACTGATAAGGCTGAAAATTTTTTCACTTGTTATTTACACCAACATTTATTAAAATAAAACCACTTAAACTGGGTGTTCGGATTTATATGTCACTTAGTATATAGCAACATGATAAAAAAAGTCCCATTTTGTCGCTCAAGATTCTGTCGGATCCCAATGATTTTGATACAAATTAAAATTTGAAAACATCATCTAACCTTAGCAATGAGATAAAACAGCTTAGTATTTTCAGTCAAACGCTGTGATTGCGGTCCAATTTAGTAATATACCTTTACGTAAGATTGTATGTACCTAACTCATAATATATGCCGTGTAAATATTTCACTTATAAACTCGTGTTTGTATTACTTATCTCAAAAATGTTAGATTTTATTATGTCGTATAATGATCCGGCATGCACGCATTGGGTTCCAACAATAATTATATGCATAAGCGAATTTATTAAAAATTTGAAAAATATTAAGTACAAAGGATACTATAAAAGTTTTGAAATATGACTTAACAAACGAACGCAGGAGGATGCATGTTGAGACATGTCCATGAGTGCATAGTATCCGCCAGTACCACGTCTGTTGATTTAGTTGTTCATTCGTATCAACAGTGTAAAGTTCGGACTAAGGAATCGGGGTCACGTAGTGAGATAAGGGCAGTTTTACGGTATAACTTTACGCGTGGTTTAAGCATAGATCAGTGCTTAGAAGAAATGACGCTTGCATTAAAGAATGATTATCTTCATCGTACGACTATATTCAGATGGTACAGAGAATTCCAAAGGGGCAATTTCACCCTGGAGGACGCTAAGAGGGAAGGAAGGTCGCGAACGTCAGTAACAGAGGAAAACATTACTACTGTGAGGAAAATGCTTGACGAACATCGAAGAGTGACATACCAACAGATAGAGGATACCTTACACCTTCATGCACCTGCAATTCATTCAATTTTGCATGACCATTTACACGTACCTTCTGGGTACCGCATATTTTCATACAATATTATCCTCACAGTTTTATTTTGCAGGAATTGTAATTTTTAGAATACAGCTTCATTGGCAGTGAACAAGATAGTTGAACAATATGGTAAATGCGGTAGAATAATTATATTACAAACTATTTTTTTGGAATATGTACTAAGACTATGAGAAGTCCTAAAAAAGCAATTTGTTTTTTTTGAAATTTTTGAAATAATGTATGTGATCCTCAAACTATTTCAATATATACCTGTATACCTATATATTTAACTTAATCCACAGTTTTTTGATGAAAGAGATGTTCATCCCACTGTTGGAGTTATGGTTTGGGGTGCTATAGCTTATGGTTCCAGGTCACCTTTAATCTTCATCAGAGGTAACATGAACGCGCAGCGTTATATCCACGAAGATCTAGAACCCCATCTTTTACCCTATCTTGACACCCTGGCAGATCCAACTTTCCAACAAGATAATGCCCGACCACATGTTGCAAGAGTCACAATAGACTTCTTTCAACATAATGATGTCACATTGTTACCATGGCCACCAACATCCCCCGACTTATCCCCAATTGAGCAAGTGTGGGATATGATGGGTAGGAGATTGCTCAATTTGCAACGTCCTCCTCAGACTCTAGAAGCACTTCGAGAGGAGTTGGTGGTTGCCTGGAATGAGATACCACAGGAGGATATTGACCACCTGATCAGAAGCATGCCTAGGCGTAGCACATCAGGGTGCATCCACACATTATTAAAGGTCAAAGGGCTTTAAAGCAGTGCAATCATTTTGAAATTTTTATCATTTACTTATTATGCTTCATTAAGTACTTATACAAAATTTTATTAAAATAAAACCATTTAAACTGGGTGTTCGGATTTATATGTCACTTAGTATATAATTGTAGTCTCTTTTTAATTTAGAAGAATCCTTGAACGTCTGTGAGAATCAGGGTTTTGTATTGTTCCTTTGATAAATTGTCTTGTCTATAGCTTCTTTCATGCGAACTTCAACATTATCCAATAGGCTTACATACTAGCTATTAGCATCAAAAAACATTTCAGTCATATTATGCAGTAAAAGAAATTCTCGTAATTTTACACAGTTAATATTAGTAATTTCTTCCAATATATTTTTAACTTCCAAACATATCCATGAACGATTGTAATTTATCTCAAAAAATTGATTAAGCAATTAATTAAACAAATTAATAAACTCGGTTGAAAATTATAATTTTTAATGTCCTCAAGTATCTAAATTAAAGTGTAATCCTTGCTCTACAAGACCTCCGACAGTATTTTGAGATTTGTTTATTTTAAGGCGATTTGAACCTTGTCTTTTAGGCTAAAACTTGCGAACTTTTGGTGTTCCCACACTGTACATACACAGGTAAAATAAAGAACACGTTTGTTGGCACTGTGATTCATGAAATGAAATAACTATATATTCTATGATGTCACTAGTTGTTTTGTTCCTTGACTAAAATAACATTTCGACGAACGGTATGATTCGGTAGCTATAACTGATAAGCAACATCAATATAAAGATAAAACAACTATACTGAGTGACATATATATCCGAACACCCAGTTTAAATGGTTTTATTTTAATAAATTTTTGTATAAGTACTTAATGAAGCATAATAAGTAAATGATAAAAATTTCGAAATGATTGCACTGCTTTAAAGCCCTTTGACCTTTAATAATGTGTGGATGCACCCTGATGTGCTACGCATTCTCCAACGCGCCTAGGCATGCTTCTGATCAGGTGGTCAATGTCCTCCTGTGGTATCTCATTCCAGGCAACCACCAACTCCTCTCGAACTGCTTCTAGAGTCTGAGGAGGACGTTGCAAATTGAGCAATCTCCTACACATCATATCCCACACGTGCTCAATTGGGGATAAGTCGGGAGATCTTGGTGGCCATGGTAACAATGTGACATCATTATGTTGAAAGAAGTCTATTGTGACTCTTGCAACATGTGGTCGGGCATTATCTTGTTGGAAAGTTGGATCTGCCAGGGTGTCAAGATAGGGTAAAAGATGGGGTTCTAGAACTTCGTGGATATAACGCTGCGCGTTCATGTTACCTCTGATGAAGATTAAAGGTGACCTGGAACCATAAGCTATAGCATCCCAAACCATAACTCCAACAGTGTGATGAACATGTCTTTCAACAAAAAACTGTGGATTCCTCCTTTCACAATAATTTTAAATTTTCATTTGCATTTTTTCAAGTGGTGTGCAACGATTTTGGGAAAAATTCTACGTATAGTCTTATAAACCATAGTAGAGTATAGCTTACTCCACTGGGACCAAGGGTTGACGGATCCCACACATGTGTTACTTGTTGGGGAGTTTTGAAATGTAATAATCAGCTGTTATTAAAATAATGTCTAATATAAATATAATCTAGAATGTGTACTCAGTGAAACAAGAAAGATATTGTAAATTCTATTTTTCTTGCAGGTTTTAAGTTTGCCGGTAGCTTTACGACATGTATTTGAGTATTTCTTAATCGCTGTAAATATAGTGTGGATGTTTGTTCAGTTCCTGAACAAAAAAAAAATATTTGACTTTATGGATGTATGGATATCAAAAATCCTGAATGGTTTTGTGGGAATATCAATCTACGGTGCCATAATGGTTCTGATAAACGGCAAGTAAATGAATGAATGTTTGGTAACGAGCAATATCTATGAACTTTTTGGTAGAGCCTGTCATCAAGTAGGTGCATGATGGCTATCTGCAAGAGGTTTATAGGAAAAAACACGCGGTAGGTGATGTTGAATCAGTACAATCGCATATCAATTGAAGAAAATAATATAAACAATCGACAATATTAAATAAAAACATGAATTTTATTCAAAAAATCGAACACTTTTTTGAATGTTGACTAAATTGTATGTAATTTCTTAATATTCAACAAGTTGCTGACTTTGACAGTATTTTGTTTCCTAACTCACCTAACTCACTTCACTATATTCACGGATTTATCGAAAACCACTGATTAAAAGGAAAAACGCCCAGACACGTTCAAAAGATTTGTCAAGGAGGACAACTTTTATTCAAAAACTACTTCACCCCCTTTCACCCTCGGCCCCCAAGGTCGTTACCTTAAAAAATTTAAATGACAAGAAGTATCGAGTGATAGCTTGTTTGAAAGTCCTTTATTTTGACATTTGTTTTTTTAAAATCGGTCAATTCGCTTTTGAGAAAATTGGAAAAATCTTTACTCATCTGAATTTGTTCAGATTAAAAACAAAAACACGAAAATGTCACTTTTTATTTCAATAAATGTGGCCCGTTAGTATACTAAGTGACATATAAATCCGAACACCCAGTTTAAATGGTTTTATTTTAATAAAAGTTGGTGAATGTATTTATCTTACTGTAAATAACTAGTGAAAAAATTTTCAGCCTTATCAGTTGGACATTCCGGTTTTTATACTGCTTTTTTTTAATTCACTAACGCTCTAAAAATGAATATTTCAGCCGCAGTAAAGAATCAACGTTGGCGGATTTTGGTTCTTGACATCCTTTACGATCGGTTACGATGCCTAGAGTACGGAGACCTGTACGATTTCTTCAACTTAGTGAGTTTGATAGGGGCCGTATAGTGGGACTTCGGGAAGCTGGACTTTCTTTTCGGGCAATTGCAGTTAGAGTGCAAAGAAATGTAGATACTGTGGTTAGGTGTTGTCAGGCATGGCTTCGAGAAGGCCGTACGCAAAGAGCAAGGGGCACTGGACGCCGCCGTAGAACAACAGACCGTGAAGATCGCCGCCTAAGATTATTGGCCTTAAAGGACCGTTTCTCCACTACCAGGTCCATTGCAAATTAATGGTTTGCAGAACACGAAAGACCTATTGGCATGCGAAGTGTTCACCGACGAATGAGAAGTTTTGGCTTGTTTTCATACCGGCCACACTGGGTCCTCCCTTTAACTCGAGAACACCGACGTAATCGTCTTGAGTGGTGCAGACAACGGTCACTCTGGGATCAGGAATGGAACAGTATTGTCTTTAGTGACGAGTCTCGATTTTGTTTAGGCATGCACGATGGTCGTGCCAGGGTTAGAAGGCGACGTGGTGAAATGCCTAGGCGCGTTGGAGAATGCGTAGCACATCAGGGTGCATCCACACATTATTAAAGGTCAAAGGGCTTTAAAGCAGTGCAATCATTTTGAAATTTTGATCATTTACTTATTATGCTTCATTAAGTACTTATACAAGATTTTATTAAAATAAAACCATTTAAACTGGGTGTTCGGACTTATATGTCACTTAGTATATATAGTCTACCCCATAAATGGCATTATTTTAGTTCTTGACGAAGAAGTATAATGAAAAATGTTTATGACGCGCTCTGAACACGACTTCCAGAGCAACCAGTAAGTGATATCGTTCAACTTTGTACCGATATAGCAAAGGAATCAGTATCTACCATTTTCAGAATTATAAAGGAAAAAAACGTAATGTGTGTTCGGAAGGAGAAAAAAAAACAGGGTCGTGAACGATTATGATAAATACGCAATAAGCAAAGTAGTTTTAAAATGAGTACCCTGAACGAAACCTAGGTAGCTAATAAATGTAAGTGTCCGTCTGGGGATGCCTTTCAAATAAAGGTGAAGCAAGTTACGATTTCTCCTGTGTTTTACTATGAAACATGCATAGTAATCAACTACAAAATATCCAATGCGTCAAAAATCATGCAATGCGTCGTTCAATTTGAACTGAAAGTGCTTCAATAAGATCTCGTCCACTTTTCGAACAATTAACCCAATCATTTGACCCACAACAATTCAATTTTACGCGCGAGCTCGCTAATAAGTATTACTCATAACGTCGATCGCTAAGATTTGAGAATTTGTCCGCCGATAGAGGGAGAGTAACGAGATATTCCTAAAGCGCGAAGATACCATTACTTAAAAGAATATCAGTTTTTTTGGCACCCGTTGTCATATACAGCCCGAGCCCTAAACTATTAAACCATGAATTCTATTCATAGGTTCAATCTACAAACTGGTTATGCAGGAATTAGTATTGTCGCATAACGTTTGATAATTTTAAACAAACAATACTTAAAAATGTAATGTACAATAAATAATTGCAATGGTATCCGAGTGTTATATGCATAAATACAGGGTCTTAATGATATGCGAATATTTTAGGGTGTGAATCTACACGAAACATTAATGTTAGTTTGCTTTATAAACTATGATCCAAAAATGTTTCCTTTCAAAAACTCGGGGTGTTGAAGTTTTAGGAAAAAAATGGAAATTAATTAATATTTTCAGAACCGCTTCAGATATTTCACTGATATTTAGTACGTAGTGAAAGTTAATAAAGTTGCATATTTTTCGTACGGGTATTGACTTCGATATTTTTTAAGAAAAAAATGGTACGCCAACGGTTTTTTGCAAAATCTCTTCGTCTTTTGGAGCATCACGAACATTTCATAAATTATTGCCAGTAATATACTGTTTAGATAGGCGCGGTCCAGTAGTTCTCGAGTCGAATATTGCTCTCAGATAATTATGTTCCGTCCTCGTCGAACTAAATATTTAGAATACATATCGTAGTACCCTCGTAGTAGTACCCAACTGCCACGATTTCAAAGCGCGCACGCAGAGAAGGAAAGCGGCACCGCGCCCCTTCCCCCTACCTGTCTCCCCTCTGGCCCCCCTATAAACCTTCATTCCTTGTTCTCGTGCCCGAAGGTCAAGACGTTAATCGGCGCGCGTCGTTTACGTGCAGTGCAGTGTCGAGGATCCGCTGGACATTTAGAATTAGAAAACAGGACAGAAGGTTGGCCGATAGATGTGCATTGTCGAACGAGAAACCGTCCGACGGCCGCCTGAAGGTTCTTTTCATCGCGGAGCAGAATTAGAAAATGGCGTGCAGGCCTCTTTTTCTGAAGGGGCGTCACCATCAGGTAACCGCTAACCGATCTGTTTTAGGTGCAAGTTAAATGAATATTAGTATGGACGCCTCACCGGCGCTGCAAATTATGCCTAAAATGACGTTTGGGATAACGTTCTGACACTGTTGCTTGGGATAGCAATCTGGACCTAGCTTGTGATAGCCAACTCCATCCCTAAGACGAACAAAGACGTTTGGGATAACACTGAAACATTGGACTCGGTTGCTTGGGATAGTCAGCTGGTGACGAACGAAGACGTTTGGGATAACGTGGAAGCATTAGACTCGGTTGCTTGGGATAGCAACATGGACCTAGCTTGTGATAGTCCACACCAAGGACGAATGAAGATGTTTGGAAAAATGACTCAATAATGAACTTCGTTGCACAAATAATAACACTGAACGTGTTTGGGACAACGTAGCAACAAGGTATGGTCAACAATCTTTTCTCATTTTCTTGTGATAGCAAATTTCATCTAGTTTGTGATAACCATGGAACAGGACTGTAAGTTTGAACCTGGCAGGCTAGGAAGTTGTTAAGATATATTATTTTTATTTATTACCAGATAGAGATTAGGTATGTTATGCGAGGTTAGCGTTACATTTTGCTTGTGACGGCCAATTCCATCTGGTTTGTGATAACCATGTAACAGCATAATAAGAATGCACCAGACAGTTTTATCTATGCGAGACTAGCGTTATATTTTGCTTGCGATAGCAAATTCCTTATGGTTAGCCATGGAATAGGTCATTAATATACACATGTCAGGTTACGAAACAGCTGAAGTACTATTTTTCATTAACAACATATAGAAATTAGGAACATCTATGGTAGACTAGCGTTACATTTTGCTTGTGATAGCAAATTCCACCTGGCTGGTGATAACTAAGGAAAAAGACTGTACGTATGAACATGACCGGTATGGAAACCACCAAAGTTCTAATGTTCAGTAATAACGGAAGTAAAATATTATGCCCGATTAACGTTACATTTTGCATAGGTGGCACTCGAACAGCAGGGCGCTCTGGATTGTGTTGTCTTAAAGGGGCGCGGTGCCGCTTTCCTTTTCTGCGTGCGCGCTTTGAAATCGTGGCGGTTGGGTACTACTACGAGGGTACTACGATATGTATTCTAAATATTTACTTCGACGAGGAATTCACATAATTAAGATGGAACATCACTTACAGGTAAGTTCGTTTGATCATGTAATTTTTCATTCATGTTATCTACGGGAGACTGATTTTGGCAAGTCACATGTAAGACATAGCACATGAGCTAGACCATACTATCCACACTTAACGATGTTCAGAGGAGGATCAAGCATATTATCAGTAATAAACTTCAGGTATGTTGGCAAAGAGGAAATCACTATTGTGTTGCTACCACTGTTCTTTATCTCCAATCTCCACAGCTAAGTTTGTTAGTGAAGCTGTGGATCAACAGTTTTATCACTGAGCAGAAGCAATATTGGAGTACTCGCCAATGTGATATGCTAAGCTTCTGAGGATATCTTGCTATAGCTGTTCTAAAGATTTTGTAAGATCACCGCGGTATACTGTCCTCTTCTGGTTGCGTCTATCTAAACCATAGCCAAAGATTACATGTTACTTGACCATCAACTTCATTATGCATCCACACATGAAATGAATGAAAAATTATCTGACGTGGAGGTTATCACTGTTTGGGGATGCAACGATCTTGTATAGTTTAATGGTTTATTGAATTTTACTATCAAAATTCATGCTCGGTTAAGAGAGTGCATCGAACACTGCTTCCAATTTATGGGCAATTTGGTCGGCCTACTGAGGGAGCTATTCGGAAGCTTGTGACTAAATTTCGAACCCAGTTTACATTATTGGACATTAAACCACCAACACGCAGACGTAGAGTGAGGACTGAAGAAAATATTGCGGCTGTATCCGCCAGTGTTAGTGATGACCGTGAAATGTCGATTCGCCGCCGTTCGCAGCAATTGGGCCTCTGTTACTCCACTACATGGAAAATTTTGCGACAGGATTATAAGATACAGGTGGTGCAAGAATTGAAGCCACACGACCTCCCACAACGTTTCCAATTTGGTGAATGGGCGCTGGCAAAGTTGGAGGAAGATTTTTGTCGAAAAATTGTGTTCAGCGACGAAGCTCATTTCTGGTTGAATGGGTACGTTAACAAGCAAAATTGCCGCATCTGGAGTGAAGACCAGCCAGAAGCATTGCAAGAGCTACCAATGCATCCCGAAAAAATCACTGTTTGGTGTGGATTATGGGCCGGAGGCATCATCGGGCCGTACTTCTTCAAAGACGACAATGGCCGGAACGTATCTATGAATGGCGAGCGCTACCGTGCGATGATAACAAACTTTTTTTGCCCAAAATGGAAGAGCTGGACTTGGCTGACAAGACGGTGCCACATGCCACACCGCACACGAAACAATGGCCCTATTGAGAGGCGAGTTCGGTGAACAGTTTATCTCACGTTCGGGGCCCGTCAATTGGCCGCCTAGATCGTGTGATTTAACGCCGTTGGACTATTTCTTGTGGGGCCATGTTAAGGCTAATGTCTACAGGGATAAACCCGCAACGATTGACGCGCTGGAAGCCAATATTGAAGCATTTATTCGTGAGATACCGGCCGATATGTTGGAGAGAGTGTGCCAAAATTGGACCTTGCGCATGGGCCATCTAAAGCGGAGCCGCGGCCAGCATTTACATGAAATAATCTTTAAACATTAAATTATATCGACCGTTCTATCGACTCAAATAAAGATTTAATCGTTTTTTCAAATTTTTTGTGTTTTTTTGAAAATCAGATCCTATACCTCTTGAAAAATCACCCGTTACAATCTATCGTACACGACATTCAATTGCAGTGCAAGACATTATAATCTCCTCCCGAAAATGCTAACACGTGTCGAGTGTTGAAAAACGATATTGCGAGAGACAGAACTCGATAGCAGTTACAGATGCTACGGCAAAGGATCCAACATCACATACATGAAAACATATTTGTCAACTCACCCAGCTTCACTCCGCCATTCATGGTCAACAGCACATTGCCAGCCTTCAGATCCCGATGTATGACGTGCGACCTGTGCAAAAACTGCAGCCCCTTGCACATATTTTGGCACACGTACGCGATCTGCGGCTCGGTGAGTGGTTTTTCCAGTTCGGTCATAATGCTATCCAGAGCCCCGCCATCGCAATACTCGATCAGCATCCACAGCTGTTGATCCTTCTGGAAGGCCTCGTGCAGACCGACGATGTTCGGGTGTTCGATCTCCGATAGGATGTCGATTTCGATCATGAAGTCCGACAGGTCATCTTCGCCGTCCAATTTACACATCTTCGCGGCTGCCAGTTTGCCGGTGTGCTTGTGCTGAGCCTTGTATACCTGGAAGAGGATTATAGCACGTTAACCGATACTTTTAAGATTACGAGGGCGGTCCGATAAGTACTTAGCATCACCGCTCGATGGCGCAACAGAAATCTAATATCCAGTGGCGAAGCGTCCATGTAACCATTGTTACCATTGGTAACAGTTAAAAATCTTGAAAGTTAATATTTTATGACTAAGAGCCGTTTTATACACAATAGAATTACTCCGAAAATTATGGTCATAATTATGCCGAAAATCACTGGACAACAAATTTTAGTTTTTTAATTGTGTCTTGTAGGAAAAGTACACTTCTTTGTTAATTTTGGGGCGCTGAATCCAAAAATGACAATGAAATAAAAAAAACTTTTTATTTCTAAGGATATATTAAAACAAGTAACAAGATTCATATACTTATAAGAATCACTATATGCGCTGTCTTTTTGCTGTTCTTTTATGGATAGTTTCTGGAGCATCTCTACCAAGAGTCCAACAGTAGTCTGCAAGCATGGAAGGATTCCACGTTCCCTGGTACCTTTTTCCCATTGTTGAAATATCCTGATGAAAACGTTCGCCGTGCTCATCACTTACGGCTCCGCAATTGTCAGGAAAAAAGTCCAGGTGTGTCTGTAGGAAATGTATCTTAAGAGACATATTACAGCCCATCTTTTGATACGATAACAGCATATTTTTGACAAGGGTTTTATAGTTGTCAGCTTTTCTATTTCCCAAGAAATTAGTGACCACCAGACGGAAATCATTCCAAGCAGTTTTTTCAATACCTGTTAAAGTGTTTTCAAACTGTGTATCTTTCAAAATATTACGAATCTGTGGCCCAACAAAAATACCTTCTTTAACCTTTGCCTCACTTAGTCTTGGAAATTTCTGACGCAGGTATTGAAAAGCTGACCCATCTCTATCTAATGCCTTGACAAAGTTTTTCATTAGGCCCAACTTGATATGCAGTGGTGGTAATAAAGTTTTTTTCGCATCTACTAACAGCCAAAAAATATCCTAAATAAAATCAACAAAATATTACTATTTTTAATGTGCTAAAACCGGAATGAAACTTATTTTTTCAATGTTAGGTCGTTTTAGAGATACGGTAATTATGTGTTCCTGCTGTGACAGTGTTAATATACTGTAATTCACAAGAATGCACGTGCTACATTTTTATATTCGGCAAGGAAAGATGATGTAATCGGCATGATTGTGTTACGTTATACATACGTGTACATTATATTGTTTTATATTAGCCATTTTTTCCTCAGTTGGCTGACAGCGTTCATGCAAGATGTCTCGAAAGTGTGAAAACAATCCAGATCAGTTTTGTTACGTGTGTGGTGATGTGACTTTTGCGTCTCAGAGACGGTCTATTACTCCACTAACAACAAAGGCATATCAGCTTTATTTCGGTTGTAAACTAGGTGATCAAGACAAACAGTGGGCACCCCACATCTGCTGTAATACATGTGCTTCAAGTCTGAGGAGCCGGTTAAATGGCAAAAAACGGTCTATGCGCTTTGCTGTCCCAATGGTTTGGAGAGAGCCTACAAATCATATTAATGATTGTTACTTTTGCATGGTACCTTGTGTTGGACAAGCCACAGGTATGTCCAAGAAAAAAAACGGTTATTAACTACACAAACATACCATCTGCGATGAGACCTGTGCCTCACAGTTACGAAAATCCTATTCCAAAACCCCCAGAATCCTACACTTGCGCATCAGAAAACGAATCAGATCATGGCGATCGAGTGATTCGTCAGGAAGAAGATATGCCATCAACGTCAAGAGATCCGGATTTTATACCGAGCACGTCATGCCACCAACCGCACAAAATAACACAGTCAGAATTAAACGATCTTGTAAGAGATTTGGAACTTCCAAAATGTAAGGCAGAGTTACTTGGATCAAGACTGCAGCAGTGGACCTTGTTAGAAGACGATGTTTCGGTATGTGTTTTTCGTAAACGCCACAAAGACTTAGAACCATTTTTCAATATGGAGAATAACTTGGTTTTCTGCAGTAACATTAACGGCTTACTGATGGCTTTAAATATAAACTATCACCCAGAAGAATGGAGATTGTTTATAGACAGTTCAACATTGAGTTTAAAGGCAGTGTTATTGCATATTGGAAATATTTTACCATCTCTTCCTGTAGGGTATGCAGATCACATGAAAGAATTATATGACAATATGATGTAATTATTGACATGCATAAAATACGATGAGCACCAATGGCATATTTGTGGCGATTTTAAAGTTGTTGCACTTTTATTTGGGCTGCAGCTAGGCTACATAAAGTTTTGCTGTTTTTTGTGTGAATGGGACAGTCGGGCAAAGGCACTTCATTACACCAGACAAAACTGGCCTGTTCGTCAATTCCTAGAGCCAGGTCAAAAAAATTTACAGCATATGCCATTAGTAGATTCGAAAAAAATTTTATTACCACCACTGCATATCAAGTTGGGCCTAATGAAAAACTTTGTCAAGGCATTAGATAGAGATGGGTCAGCTTTTCAATACCTGCGCCAGAAATTTCCAAGACTAAGTGAGGCAAAGGTTAAAGAAGGTATTTTTGTTGGGCCACAGATTCGAAATATTTTGAAAGATACACAGTTTGAAAACACTTTAACAGGTATTGGAAAAACTGCTTGGAATGATTTCCGTCTGGTGGTCACTAATTTCTTGGGAAATAGAAAAGCTGACAACTATAAAACCCTTGTCAAAAATACGCTGTCATCGTATCAAAAGATGCGCTGTAATATGTCTCTTAAGATACATTTCCTACACTCACACCTGGACTTTTTTCCTGACAATTGCGGAGCCGTAGGTGATGAGCACGGCGAACGTTTTCATCAGGATATTTCAACAATGGAAAAAAGGTACCAGGGAAAGTGGAATCCTTCCATGCTTGCAGACTACTGTTGGACTCTTGGTAGAGATGCTCCAGAAACGATCCATAAAAGAACAGCAAAAAGACAGCGCATATAGTGATTCTTATAAGTATATGAATCTTGTTACTTTTTTTAATATATCCTTAAAAATAAAAAGTTTTTTTTCTAAACCGCAACTAATTTTTTTATTTCATTGTCATTTTTGGATTCAGCGCCCCAAAATTAACAAAGAAGTGTACTTTTCCCACAAGATACAATTAAAAAACTAAAATTTGTTGCCCAGCGTTGTTTAACTGAATATCCATTCAAAAAACATAGTTACCTTTCCATAAGCTCCATCGCCCAACTCGCCAATCATTTCCCAGTACTCAGCCGGGTCACAATCCATACGAACATTGTTATACACTTTTCTTTTTTTGGAGTCATTGCCACCAAAATGAAGCACTTTACGGATGTTGTTCAAGAACGACATTTTCACTATATTATTCTAAAACGTTTGAATGACTAGTCACTTGCACTACATATTCACAAATGTTTTGAATAGTCTTCACAATATAGTTTCTGCACAAAATTTCAACCGGCTATACCTGTAAATGAAAAAGATAAATAATAGTAATTTTTAATCCAATACGTTTTCCAACCACAGGAACATACAATAATAACATGAAGTTCTATGCTCTTGTGTGTAAAAGTCCATTTTACAAAATGCAGTTAAAACATGAATGAAAATCAGTATTACAGGAAATAAATACTGATGCTGATAAAATGTTTAAGGCATTCCGTACTTTTTTGTAAAGATATTTTTTGTCATATCACGATGATGGTTTCATTGTTGTTTCATTGCATTATCATGTCTAGAGCTCGCAGACGCACTAATTTCACTCAACTTTCCGAGTTTGAAAGGGGTCGGAAATCGGATTTTCTACAGCACTTGCTTTTCTAGGTCATTTAGCACGGCATATGTTTGCTTAAAACTGCTTAAAATCACCCGAATGGTATCGTTATTGATATCGCATCATTGACAATAAGTAACACATCACACATACTTTCAACAGGAGACATGTCAGATATGTTGGTTCTACCCCTAGCGCTATAAAAAGTTGCATTAGAGCGAGTTGTTCTCGTTGGCACCACAAAATTTATTTTAGATAATTCCGGGCAATCAAGTTCATTATTAACCAGACAATGAAGCACTGTAATGTCATTTAATTGGCGACGGTAAAACCAATGTATCAAAATTCATGACTTGCAGTAGAACATTGTGTGGGAAGCCTCTTCCAGGATATTAGGCAAAACTTTGAAATGAATGTATTTTAGGCTCCTATGCTGGACAGATTCAATAGCTGAAATTGCATGTTGATGAACTGGCGACCAAACAAGTGCAGCATATTTCAGTTTACTCCAAATAAAAGGTGAAGATATTCCTTTACCGGACAAATTATGACAGAATGGTTGCAAGACCTAGATTGGAAAATGGCTAAAGAAAAAAGAAAAATTTTGTTATTTTTAGACGATGTGAGATCTCTTTTAAAAGACATGCTTAAATAATATAAAAATCTTATTTTTACCCCCTGATTGTACTTCAGCTTTTCAATCACTTGACAAAGGAATTATAAAAAGTTATCACCAAAGTCGAATACTCAAACACCTGCTAGTAAACATTGAAACTGCTGGTACTGTTAATAAAAAAAATCACGTCATTGGAACCAAGTAACCAAAGAAACAGTGCAAAGTTGCTTCCGCAAAAAAAGGATTTAAGCTTGAAAATATGCAAAGTGAAGACCAGTTAAATGAGGCTGATATACCTGGCCCAGAAGATGGCTTACCACTAATGTACTTTCAGATATCCTCAAAAACAAGAATTTTTTGAAACTAAATGATAATGAAACCCTTTACGATTGTTTGAACCGAGATGAAAGTTTGTATGTTGAAGATCCACATTCAGGCCAATAAATTGAAAATCCAGTTGGAATTCAAGAACTTTCAGAAGATTCTAATGTCGATGAGGTTCCAGTACAAACAGAAGCTATTCCAAATTATGAAAGGCCTCACTGGATACGTAGGGTAATATGATAAAAACTTCAGAAAGTAAACACAACCAGCTAGAATAGAGAAATGGAAAGCTTAAAAACCAAAGTTACAAAATGGTCACCATATTCAAACACACTGTTAGTAGTTCGGTTACTTTGACAGAATATGCCCCAGTCAGCAATGAATAGACAAAGAAGGTACAAAAATATCCAGTTAAATGAGGCTGATACACCTAACCCAGAAGATGACTTGCCACTTAATGTACTTTCAGATATCTTCAAAAATAAGAATTGATTGTAAAGTGACTGATAATGAAAACTTTTATGATTTTTTGAACCTAGATGAAAGTTGTGTATGTTCAAGATTCAGGCCGAGAAATTGAAAATCCAGTTGAAATACAAGAATTTTCTGAAGATTCTGATGTCGATGAGGTTCCAGTACCAACAGAAGCTATTCCAAATTATGGTTCAACCATCACCCTGACTCATCATCTCAAAAATTCTGTCAAAAAATCTGGAATCCCTTTGGAGCTTCTTTCTAAATTAGAAATACGTATTCAAGACGCCATTTCAAAGAAAATTAGGAGACAAACGACAATATATGAATTTTTGCGTTCTTAAAGTGACTTTTTATTTCATTGTTTTGTGTTACTATATATATAATGTATTCTCTGTACCATTATAAGTGCTGCAAAAACACAATATGTACCATCCTCTGGAATGCCCTCCGCATGCGAAAGCTATAAAATATTATCACTGGGATATTTATAAATAAAAGACTTGTTAGACAGTCAAACCATAAGTGTCAAATTAGCAAACTTGAGGCTAGTAGACAGAATGCTAGTCAATAGGGATGTAGGGTGAAGGTGCTAGTAACTTGGACGCTACCACTAGCTGGACAAATGTTATATTGTTGGTAAAAACTTGAATATTTGAAATTCCATACTTGCTGATAATTGCTACCAGATTTATCAACTAATTTGTGACACTTTACCAAGAATTTCACATCCACAGTTGTCATATTGACAACAGTATTAGCGCGTCAAAAATACCATGAATTCGATTTCTCAATTTTTGTCATTTGTGTAGTCAGTGACGTAAACTTTAAAGGGCAGTAGAATCATCAGCTGACAATATATAAATACTGTTCTTGTTACATGGAAATATTATAGATATCTTTTCAGATCCATTGGAATATTACCATTTAAAGCAAATTATAGATACTCCAACAAGAATCACATCTGCAACTCAAACACTATTAGACTTCGTCATATTGAGTAAAACCGTGAACATAATTTACCAAGAAGTCATTTATTCATACTAAGTGTCATATAAATCCGAACACCGAGTTTAAATGGTTTTATTTTAATAAAATTTTGTATAAGTACTTAATGAAGCATAATAAGTAAATGATAAAAATTTCAAAATGATTGCACTGCTTTAAAGCCCTTTGACCTTTAATAATGTGTGGATGCACCCTGATGTGCTACGCATTCTTCAACGCGCCTAGGCATGCTTCTGATCAGGTGGTCAATGTCCTCCTGTGGTATCTCATTCCAGGCAACCACCAACTCCTCTCGAAGTGCTTCTAGAGTCTGAGGAGGTCGTTGCAAATTGAGCAATCTCCTACCCATCATATCCCACACGTACTCAATTGGGGATAAGTCGGGAGATCTTGGTGGCCATGGTAACAATGTGAAATCATTATGTTTAAAGAAGTCTATTGTGACTCTTGCAACATGTGGTCGGGCATTATCTTGTTGGAAAGTTGGATCTGCCAGGGTGTCAAGATAGGGTAAAAGATGGGGTTCTAGAACTTCGTGGATATAACGCTGCGCGTTCATGTTACCTCTGATGAAGATTAAAGGTGACCTGGAACCATAAGCCGTAGCACCCCAAACCATAACTCCAACAGTGTGATGAACATGTCTTTCAACAAAAAACTGTGGATTCCTCCTTTCACCACGTCGCCTTCTAACCCTGGCACGACCATCGTACATGCCTAAACAAAATCGAGACTCGTCACTAAAGACAATACTGTTCCATTCCTGATCCCAGAGTGACCGTTGTCTGCACCACTCAAGGTGATTACGTCGGTGTTCTCGAGTTAAAGGGAGGACCCAGTGTGACCGGTATGAAAACAAGCCAAAACTTCTCATTCGTCGGTAAACACTTCGCATGCCAATAGGACTTCCGTGTTCTGCAAACCATTCATTTGCAATGGACCTGGTAGTGGAAAAACGGTCCCTTAAGGCCAATAATCTTAGGCGGCGATCTTCACGGTCTGTTGTTCTACGGCGGCGTCCAGTGCCCCTTGCTCTTTGCGTACGGCCTTCTCGAAGCCATGCCTGACAACACCTAACCACAGTGTCTACACTTCTTTGCACTCTAACTGCAATTGCCCGAAAAGAAAGTCCAGCTTCCCGAAGTCCCACTATACGGCCCCTATCAAACTCACTAAGTTGACGAAATCGTACAGGTCTCCGTACTCTAGGCATCGTAACCGATCGTAAAAAATGTCAAGAACCAAAATCCGCTAACGTTGATTCTATACTGCGGCTGAAATATTCATTTTTAGAGCGTTAGTGAATTAAAAAAAAGCAGTATAAAAACCGGAATGTCCAACTGATAAGGCTGAACACTTTTTCAATTGTTATTTACAGTAAGATAAATACATTCACCAACTTTTATTAAAATAAAACCATTTAAACTGGGTGTTCGGATTTATATGTCACTTAGTATACATAAAAATTTCAATCATCTAGTTCCTTTGATAAACAAATAGCTCTTTCATCTACCTGAAAATAGTTAAAAGTCATGTATGGAAGAATTTTGATTTTGGGTTTTTTGTTTATGTACTAACAATGATTGCGATAAAATGTTTACTTATATGTAATGATGTTAATAGCATGGTGGCTTTTTTAACTGAAGAATTGATTCATGTATATGACATTTGTATTCTTTTTCATGAATACAGGGTAATCAGAACCAATCCACGGTGGATAACCAATAATATCAAGCTCATAATGAAATTAAGGGTTAAAGCTTTTAACAAATTTAAAAGAACTGGTCCACCAGGCCTATTACAAAGCATTGAGGAATTGAATGAAAAATGCTTTGCATCATTAAAAAAATCATTTATAGATTATTTGCTTAACAAAAATTAATGATGCTATTCCGCAATATTTGAATAAGCCCAATGAAACCAACACATAGTTCTCAAGCCTCCCTCAATTCCAGGTGAATTTATTACATAAATATAATATTGGGCCTAGTAATAACCCTGATGAGCCCTTTGAGTTTTGTTCAGTAACTGCAGCTGAAATATCTACTTGCATCAAATCTATCAAAACAGAGGCACTATAACACGGAAAATACTAAATCTTATCATATACATAATAAATCGCTGTCCTATTCTGTGAGTATTTCCAGATATTTGGAAAATATCTAAATTAGTATGTATACCTAAAATATCTAATCCGAATCAATTCTCTGACTTAAGACCAATCAGTATTTTACCAATATTACCAAGTGTCCTAGAAAAGGTAATCAAACAACAAATTTTTGAATCCGCAAATATTATGATAGTACAACTGTGAAATAAACTTTCAAATTTCCACTTCACTAGAGAATGGATACCAAGAAAAAAATAAATTCTATATATAGTGATGGCAAGCTAAAGGAGACAGTTGAAGCTATCAGAAATGTTACGAAATTGCTTCATTCTTCTTCATTTTTACCAAGCTTGTATGTATTTTTGAAAAAAAATGTCTATATTAAATGGAACCAGTATGAGTGTGTTTAATTTTCTTTCTTCAAAGCGTTAATGACATCGGATTTCAAATTTCTATTCTACTACATATCACAAATTTTCAATGGTTCTGTATAAAACTGACCAATCAAATGTCATCACAGATATTACACATTCCTTCATCGCAGAATATAAATCTGATAACTGAACATTAGCTTATTTTTCAAACTGGATATGTAACATATTATATATATATACCAAAATTCTGTCGTGATGCTTGAGGCCATTCAACGTAAAGCTTCAAAGTATTTTCACCTTAAATGCACAGGTTCTTATCCAGAAAGAGGTTGTGACCATAGTGCCCTATAAGTTTTTCAATTTGGATTCACTGTCAACAAGACGAAACATATTTGCTTTGTCGTTTCTGTATGGCCTCATTCACAATAAAATTGACTGTCAAAATTTACTTGAAAAAATATTATTCCGTGTTCCAAGGCTAGGGAGTCGACAACAAACGGCATTCTATTGTCAAACTGGCCGTACAAATGTTATGACAAAATCGCCAATTAATCTCATGTGCTCCGTCATGAACAGTGTTACTGAATCGTGTGATATTTACAGTGACAGTTGTGCATCGATTATTAACTGCTATAGATCATCCAATCTTATTTAGAATGTGTGATACTATAGATTTAAGTCCAAGAACCATGTCTCTTTAATTAGTATTTTTTTTCAGCGTTTCCTGTAATTGGGTTTCACCTGTTGGAAATAAATAAATAAATAAATAAATTAAGGTATTTAGAAAAATAAAACACAAACTAGCACACTGCACCTGTTCACTATTAAAACTAGTCTGATGATTAAAAATAGACACTATAATCTACATATATGTATATTTCAATGGAAAATAGATGAAAAAATCAAAAATTTAAATGCACTGTCACTTTTGACACAATATCAAGAGACATGAATATAATCAAGACATCAAGCATACCTTGTAAATACAGAGAACAAGGAAATATTGTGAAGATCACATTTCAAGTAACAACGTGACAGAATCAAAGGCACAAGATTTCATTTTTCCTTAATGGATGATTAAATCTTGTGAACCATATTCAACTGTTCAAAGTCAATCTTCACCACATGATATAAAACTGACGTTTCGTCAATACTAGCTTACTTTTTAACATAGATATGTAATATACTATTGAAGTATTTATAAAAAACAAAACGCATACTGGCCCACTGTAAAACTTTCCACTATTGAAACTAGTCTCAAATTAAAATACCTAGGCCCTTTACAATCTACATTATAGATGGATTACAATGTGAAATCAACCGAAAAGAGAAAAATTTAAAGACACTGTCACTTTTGACATGACACCGAGAGACCAAAAGTGTTTTTAGAGCATCGCAGGTGTACAATCCGGATCAAGCATGCTATGTAAATACAGAGTACATGAAAATATTTTGGAGATAACATCCAAACAGCAACGAGATATAATCAAAGGCATACGATTTGATTTTGTCTCGTGGATGGATGTTTGAATCTCGTGGACCATATTTAACAACCTCTTCCTATGCAGTGAAAGGAAATGTCACAGTCTACAAGTGCAAGAACCTGTGCAGCTGGAGTATACAGGGCAGGAGGTATTTCCTACTTACATGCCATCGGTTTTCCACAATTCACTAAACGTAATTCGCGAATTACCGTTGGTGTACACCGCGTAATTATCAGGTATTTTTAATTAGTTTGTATATTTTCATCTAGGTACCGTCAGCCATGCCAATTTTACCTTTACCGTCCCCGCTCCACGCCTCTAGATGACATCATTTAGAATTACTACTTTGCAGGACGGAACGCTTTAGTAGACCAATGATGGAGGCCGGCACGGGTATTACGTATCTTGAAAAGTGACGTTTATCGATTTTTTTGACATTATACTATTTTTTTCGACAAGATGGACACTTTTGTAAACTTGTTTTGTAGTTGTAGTACGTGTTGCCTAAAGGTCATGAGGCTTCATTTATCAAAATGTTTGGGTATGTTGTGATGTAAAACCTGTGTTGATGATAATTCCATTGGATTCTTGTCTCAAATACACTTACTTGAGATTCAAAGCTAAAAATTAGTTACGAATCCACTTTTTCTTATCCATTCTGGAAATATGCAAATTTGCAGAATTTAAAAAATGAGAGAGATAATAAATAATTATATTCACTGTACGCTGTCGAATTACAAGTCATATTCATGCTAACAGTAATTACACACAAAGCGGGCGCGGTGGCGATTTCGCGTAATTCTCTTCAAAGTTTTTGAAAACACAAAAAATCGTAATTGATAACTTTGAACATAACCTTTCTTCCGAATGGACAACATATAAATAACCTGTCGGGCACAGCTAATAGATATACTTCATTGGCAGCATATTCAGTAATGATTTTCTCACACAGCAAATATCACTGATTTTATACCCTTGCAGACCAATACACACTACACACAATCATCCAGATGCGATCTTGCTATTCCACCAAATAACCAACTTTCTTCTCAGAGACTGAGAGATGAAAACTATAGACCACTCGGCTTCACAAAACATATGCAAGCAACAATGCTTGTACGTGTAGTTGAGTCATTCGTCCATAGATGGACCCTCACAACGATCATAGTGAGCAAACGTGGAATGACCGCACCCAAAAAACTGCCTAGCCTGCAAGATGACGTCTTATAGGTTTTTTAACGTTACCCGTGCATCACGGGTATTACGTTCTCGAAAAGTGACATTTTGTCGATTTTTGCTAAAAACCGTGAAAGGAACTCACTGTTTGACAACGGCTCGGCCTGATACCGAGGCAACGTCGGAGAGTCTAACTCCGCATACGGTACAGTTTGGCAATCTCTTATTTTGTAGGACATCGTAAGGTAAACGCCAAAATATAGCGCCTCGACCTGGTACCAAGACAACCTCGGAGAAACGTAGAGCGCAAGATCAACCAACGACAAGTTTGCAGAGAATTTTCAGTCAAAAAACAAAACTTTTTCCCCCACCGCACAGAGCAATTTTTAACTTTATCGGCAACGTTGCCATATCAAATAATGCTCAACATTTTAATCTTGCACGATTGCAAACAATATACAACCAATATACTTATTTTATCGAAAGATTGATGCTTAATTTTCAAATATTCCCAACAGTCGATGATTCCTCTGTCACTAAAGTATATAGCTTCGTTTTAAGTGCAATCGTTTAGTTTTGGAATTAAATAAAACTTTGTGTCATATATAGTTTTATATACTCTATATAATATATGGGGTTGTCCAAAATAGACGCAGGAAAGTAAACGCACATTAAAACAAGAAAGATTGCTATTCAAATCAAGTTGGGTACTTTATTTTGAAGGTTCATTTATACCATTTATGTATGAAAAATAATATCGCTCAAATGTTCACCACGACTGGATTTACAGACGTCCACGCGATGGTCGAAATTTTCAATGACATTTTGCAACATGGTCAGTTCTATGGCATTTATCTCGGCAATGATGTTGTTCTTGAGTTCTTGGAGGGTGGCTGGTTTGTTGACGTAGACTTTGGTTTTCAAATATCCGCATAAAAAGAAGTCCAAGGGAGTCAAATCGCACGATCTTGGTGGCCATGGCACATTTCCTCTGCGCGAAATCACGCGACCGAAGAAGGACTGCAATCGATGGATATTGACGTTGGTTGTGTGGCATGTTGCACCGTCTTGTTGGAAATAAACATCGTCCATATCCATTCCTTCAAGTTGCGGCAAAAAATATTCCTCTATCATCACGTGATATCGCTCAGAATTGACGGTAACGGCGTCCCCGGCCGCATTTTCGAAAAAGTAAGGTCCGATTATGCCTTTGGACCACAATGCACACCACACAGTCACTTTTTGAGGATGCATCGACTGCTCTTGATACTCACGGGGATTTTCGTTCGCCCAGATGCGGCAGTTTTGCTTTGGAAATAAACATCGTCCATATCCATTCCTTCAAGTTGCGGCAAAAAATATTCCTCTATCATCACGTGATATCGCTCAGAATTGACGGTAACGGCGTCCCCGGCCGCATTTTCGAAAAAGTAAGGTCCGATTATGCCTTTGGACCACAATGCACACCACACAGTCACTTTTTGAGGATGCATCGACTGCTCTTGATACTCACGGGGATTTTCGTTCGCCCAGATGCGGCAGTTTTGCTTGTTTACCGTCCCATTCAAAGTGAAATGCGCTTCGTCGCTGAACATGATTTTTGATAAAAAATTAGCATCAATTTGGCGGTGTTCAAGGAGCCAATCTGAGAACGTTCAGCGCGAAAAATGGTCGGCCCGACGCAGCTCTTGCGTCAATTGGATCTTGTAGGCGTGTACATTCAAATCCTTGTGGAGAAGGCGGAGCAAACTGGTTCTCGAAATGCCCAATTCTTGGGATCGACGCGTTGTTGATTGTTTCGGATCGTCTCTCACACTTTCCTTCACAACAGCAATATTTTCCTTGGCCGGCCTGAGCCTGGCAGATTTGCCACAGAACCTGTTGCCTCGAATTTACGCACCAGACGACGGATGGTTGTTTCGTTTGGGCGGTTGTTCAGAAACAAGTAGGTAAGTAGAACGTACAACTACTACACAGGAAGTCATGAAATGTACTGAACTAGGACAAACTGTTCAGAACACACCAAAAATTCAAAGGAAACGCAAAGGTCGCGTGGAACCTGATGATAGCGCCTATGGAAACGAAATAAGAAATGCCGTTTATGGTTTTTACAACATTTGAATATACCATGCCAGCAAATTGATGCAATGACATCATTGAATATAAAGGGAATGGGAAATTCCAGGAAGCATATTTTACTTTTATGTTGCTGTTTGACTGAGCTGTATTCATTACTAATTTCTATGATATGTTCCCGATACATGTATACATGTGTCTATATTATTTTTATGGGTAAAATTAGAACGTCTGGAAAGGACAGCGCAGCCTGTCCTATTGACTTAACTCGTAGTCAATAAGTCCGAGATGTACTAAAATAATTTTTTAAATAAGCATTTTCATAACTGTATTGCGTACAGTTTATTGTCAGATTTCCGATTCACTTAAAAGGATAATCCAGCTCTGAATACGGTCCTGGAATTCATGATTGCCAACTATTACAAAGATATCGCTTTTGTGATCAGCTGTTTACCCGATTCTTCATTATCGTTATTCTTCTTATACAGGGTGACTTTGAAGTTGAGTCATTAATTTTCAGATAATGATTGTAGAAGGAAGATAAACCAAAATATGTGTGTAAAAATAAAAAAAAATTAAAAAAAAAAAAATTTACCTTGTTTATAAAGTATCCTCCCGACAAGTATTTCAGTGCGGACCTGTATTTGATCGTGAGGTCTTGGAGCACCGGCATGCCGTCCATATGTGAGGTCTTAAGTCAAATGATTCACGAACCCATTGTACTACATTAACAAAGGCACGAGGGGTTGGTTGCACTCGATTGGGAAACCGATCCGCATAAACATGTGCCATTTTTTATTTCGTTTGAGCCACGCAACAGACACCACCATTCACTGACACTGACTGTATACAAATGAATAAAATAATTGTAAAAACATCGTTCCAAATTCTTTCGCTTTTTTGTTTCCGATGCGATGAACCGATACGGCGGATTATATCCGTTGTCGCCAAACACGAGCACATAATATTATTATTGAGACAGGGCGGTACTCAAACTTCCAAAGGGCTATAACTTTGTTACTTTAATTTTACCAGAAAAATGGTAAAGGAAAAAAACATTTCTTTTGATCAGATCTACTCACTGTTAAAATAAATGACTCAACTTCGAAGTCACCCTGTATATATTACCGAAACTGTTCTATGTAAAAATTTAACAAGGTTTTGAAATTTTGGGGTTAGCTTCACGTCAAAATCGAAAAAAGCAACCTGACATGACTGTCATTATTTAGTACTGTCAAATTACCACGGTTCACTAGTAGTAATAAAAATTCTTTTTTCTCTGCCTTTCGTTATCTGCTTTCACTCTAGCTCTTTTGAAAGTGGACTTATAAATACATTTGTGCTCTGCTTACGTCACATAGGTGGCGGTAGTATCTTTCAGACTCCATTGGTTACCTAAGGCGTAAAAAGGATCATTTCAGTTGTCGGTGTCAATGTGTAATCCAATGTAACCACAGCTTAGGAAACAATCAGCAGGCTATCACTCAGATATTCCTATATAAAATAACGTCTTATGAAAGTCAGCCACCCATCTGGAAATCCTCTCTGGGAGGCCATTGGATGGAAGTTTGCATAAGAGCACAGCGTGCCACAGCTGATAGAACGCTTGGTACCCCAAACCATACTTTCTGCCGCTAATCAAGTCGTGACGTTCAAGGTAGTTCGTGATTTATTCGCCTCTCATCCTTCATCATCCTGCGTTTGAAATTATCTACAACCTAAGAAAAAATATACGCTTGGCAACGCCGATTCCCGGCGATATTCCCGTGACATATGCCAAAGATGACAATGACAATATTGACACTGACACTGACGTTTGCGAACATTCTTCCATGCCCTACTATTTCCTATTTGTGGTTAGCATGTTTTACATTTTTGAAGACTGAGAACAATTACAACATTTGCAGGCTTTCAACGGTGATTCCCGTCAAGGTAGGTGATTCAGTCCAAGAACGATTCATTTTATCGAAATAACAAATCTTTTTCCTCATACAAACTTCAGATGCCGTGTATTGAAGATAAATCATCCATTATATCAACTTTGAGATCTCTAAACTGTTGTGCAAGGTGTATAGTGAGATTTTTGGGATACAAGGATTTAGAGGATAGTTCAGAACCCTTTCTACACCCCGAAGAATTCATTACAGAACCAAATCCAGAGCCGTGCGATCCTAAGAAGCCAAAAAGTAGTCCGTGCAGATCTTGTTTGGGAATATTGGAAGATCCTGTTATAGAGAAGATTGTAGCTGGTATTTCACTGGATGAAGCAAATCATTATAATGAAAAAAGTTTCACAGTGTTTGTTAGTCTTCCAAAAGTCTTATTATTGAGGGATCACAGTATGAGCTTGTATTTGAAAGAGAAGTTTCCCGAAGTATACAAACAACCGAACAGTTTTGAGGATATGAAAAAAGTGTTTCGTATATCGGCTGCGAATTCTATTGGAAAGCAGATAAATAAAACATTCCAAGCTGGTTCTGATTTGCAATTATTAGTTGATATTTCCTACCCTGATGACGAGTTTGAAGTCGAAAATCTTTCGAAGCTATACAGTAAAAATGTCAGCAGATCTAATATAGGTGATATTCTTGATAGATGCGATGAAGCATCTTTTAGGAAACATTTTGCTGTGCCGCCAGAAAGCCCTCATAAAGAAGTAACTGCTAAGGTATCATTTTCGACAGTGTCTATTTATTTAGGTGGTAGATACCTAAAATTCTCGAGGGATATGGGACAGACACCGTGGGTTATTAATGGCAAAGTCATGGCTGAACACTGCTTATCAGATATAATCTTCAATAGCATCTGCAAGGTGTTAGGATATGACAAGACTCAAGTGACATTCTGTGCAAGCGGCAGAGAAGACGCAGACGTCAGGATGTTGGGTAACGGAAGGCCATTTTACATTCAAGTTGACAATCCAAAAAATAGTCATATATCATTTGAAGACTGTCATCGAATTGAGGAAGATATATTGAGCACCAAGCTGGCTGCAGTCGTAGGATTGCAAAAAGTCGATGCTAATGACATAAAATGGATCAAAACTGGCGAACAAGAAAAGAAGAAACATTATTCTGCCTTGTGCCACACGAAATCTCCAGATGTGAAAGCAGTAGTGGATAAACTGAACAGCTACGCGTGTCCATTTGAATTGCACCAAAAGACCCCATTGAGAGTATTGCATCGTAGAGCTCAGTCCACGAGAAGTAAAATGATCTACGAAATGTCTGCCGCGGAAGTTGGCGAGCATTTGTTTTATTTGGACGTAGTGACATCTGCGGGCACTTACGTGAAGGAGTTTGTTCATGGCGACTTTATGAGAACTGAACCTAATGTGATATCTATAACTGGATTTGATGCTGATTTAATTGCATTAGATGTTACAAAGATTGAGTTGGAGTGGCCATTGCAAAAGTGACATCTGTGCAAATGGACATCTTGAAATGTTATTTCATTGAAGTTGTATTTACACATTAACAGTAAATGAAATTGTATTTACACAAGATCTACTTACAGTAAAATCTTTGGATGGAAACCAAAGGTACTGACTGAAAGTGTCTGTTCAAGAGGGGTCTGCATAAAAGAAATACAACAAAACACATATTTTTTATTTATTTATTTACGGTTTCCTGTTACATACAAGCAAACATTGCATTTATGTGACATATTATACTAAGTGACATATAAATCCGAACACCCAGTTTAAATGGTTTTAATTTAATAAAATTTTGTATAAGTACTTAATGAAGCATAATAAGTAAATGATAAAAATTTCAAAATGATTGCACTGCTTTAAAGCCCTTTGACCTTTAATAATGTGTGGATGCACCCTGATGTGCTACGCATTCTCCAACGCGCCTAGGCATGCTTTTGATCAGGTGGTCAATGTCCTCCTGTGGTATCTCATTCCAGGCAACCACCAACTCCTCTCGAAGTGCTTCTAGAGTCTGAGGAGGACGTTGCAAATTGAGCAATCTCCTACCCATCATATCCCACACGTGCTCAATTGGGGATAAGTCGGGAGATCTTGGTGGCCATGGTAACAATGTGACATCATTATGTTGAAAGAAGTCTATTGTGACTCTTGCAACATGTGGTCGGGCATTATCTTGTTGGAAAGTTGGATCTGCCAGGGTGTCAAGATAGGGTAAAAGATGGGGTTCTAGAACTTCGTGGATATAACGCTGCGCGCTCATGTTACCTCTGATGAAGATTACAGGTGACCTGTAACCATAAGCTATAGCACCCCAAACCATAACTCCAACAGTGTGATGAACATGTCTTTCAACAAAAAACTGTGGATTCCTCCTTTCATCACGTCGCCTTCTAACCCTGGCACGACCATCGTGCATGCCTAAACAAAATCGAGACTCGTCACTAAAGACAATACTATTCCATTCCTGATCCCAGAGTGACCGTTGTCTGCACCACTCAAGGCGATTACGTCGGTGTTCCCGAGTTAAAGGAAGGACCCAGTGTGGCCGGTATGAAAACAAGCCAAAACTTCTCATTCGTCGGTAAACACTTCGCATTCCAATAGGTCTTCCGTGTTCTGCAAACCATTCATTTGGAATTGGCCTGGTAGTGGAGAAACGGTCCCTTAAGGCCAATAATCTTAGGCGGCGATCTTCACGGTCTGTTGTTCTACGGCGGCGTCCAGTGCTCCTTGCTCTTTGCGTACGGCCTTTTCGAAGCCATGCCTGACAACACCTAACCACAGTGTCTACACTTCTTTGCACTCCAGCTGCAATTGCCCGAAAAGAAAGTCCAGCTTCCTGAAGTCCCACTATACGGCCCCTATCAAACTCACTAAGTTGACGAAATCGTACAGGTCTCCGTACTCTAGGCATCGTAACAGATCGTAAAGGATGTCAAGAACCAAAATCCGCCAACGTTGATTCTTTACAGCGGCTGAAATATTCATTTTTAGAGCGTTAGGGAATTAAAAAAAAAGCAGTATAAAAACCGGAATGTCCAACTGATAAGGCTGAAAATTTTTTCACTTGTTATTTACAGTAAGGTAAATACATTCACCAACTTTTATTAAAATAAGACCATTTAAACTGAGTGTTCGGATTTATATGTCACTTGATATACAACAACTTTATATAAATTATTTATTCAACTAAAGATTCATGTGATACCCAATCTACTTATGTTTAAAACCTAACAAACCAATGTTGAATAGACACATTTTTGATGTGTCTAATAGTGCTGTTGAAAACATCTATGTTATAAGTTTCAGGTTCTCAGTTTTCACTAAAAACTCTAAATGTAGTAACCTAAAACAATGAGATAACGAGTGTCTTTAAGGACAAAAAAATTCATATATTGTCATTTGTCTCCTCTTTTTCTTTGAAATGGCATCTTGAAATCGAATTTTTAATTTATAAAGAAGCTCCAAAGAGCTCCCTAATTTTCGACGAAACTTTTGATCAGCTTGGACAGGGTGTTTAGCTTTAGCATAATTTGGAATAGCTTCTGTTGGTACTGGAACCTCATCGACGTCACAATCTTTGGAAAGGTCTTGTATTTCAACTGGGTTTTCAATTAATCCTTGGCCTGGACCCGGATCTTGAATATACAAAACTTTCATCTAGGTTCAAAAAATCATAAAGGTTTTCACTATCAGTCAATTTCAATCAATTCTTATTTTTGAAGATATCTGAAAGTACATTCATTAAGTGGTAAACCATTTTCTGGGTCAGGTGTATCAGCCTCATTTAACTGGTCTTCACTTTCCATATTTTCATGCGTAAATCCTGTTTTGCAGAAGCAATTTTGCACTGTTTCTTTGGTTACTTGACCGCGGTTTTTGCCAAAAAAACGGCATCCAGTGACGTAATTTTCTTTATTAACTCAAAGGCTGTACCAGCAGTTTCAATGCTTACTAGCAGGTTTTTGAGTTTTAGACATCTGTAATAAGTTTTTAAACTCTTTATAATCCCTTGGTCAAGTGGTTGACAAGCTGATGTACAACAAGAGGGCAAACATAAGATATGTATTTAAGCGAGTGTCTTTTGGATGAGCTCTAGCATTGTCTAAAAATAAAAAAATGTCTTTTTTCTTTAGCAATTTTTTAATCTGGATCTTGCATAGACGTCAGACTAACACTGTACGCAAAGAATAAGAATGCTAAATCCCCGACCAATTCTGTTTCTTTTTTCTTTAGCCATTTCCCAATCTAGGCCTTGCAACCACTCTGCTGTTATAATTTGTCTTATCATCCAAGCTTCCTTATTGCATTTCCATGTTACCGCTCATTCATGTTAATGGTTTTAAAAGGTTTGGGTTTAGCTGCCTTACCAATGACTAGGAGGTTTTCTTTTTCACTCACCATATTGTAGCCTTTTTCTGGGTTCTTTTGGGTGTGGATTGAAACACTGGATTCCACAAAAAGAAATGCACACTTATTGAACTTGATAGAACATTTATGTACACTACGAGCCCCTTCCCACTTCAGTTGGCCCAACTATTGTAATCTTAGTTTTTTTCTTATCAAACACAAATAATAAAAATGTAGCGGGGTGTTTATAGGTTTAAAATATTAACAATGAATATTTTGATAATATATAGTAGAAAACACCAACTTTATCACTCCCTAATCAATTTTGCAGCATTAAAATAACACATGTTGCAATTACAGCATATCAACCTATTTTCATTTAAATGCAAAATAAGTCTGTAACGCATAGGTGGCTGTGAAAAATAAAAGCTATGACAATTGTTTTTATTAATCACAGCTGTCAGAATACGTTTAAAATAGTTTTGGGTAGTTAAGGTTTTTAAAATGGGTAGAAGAAAGGTTATTAGTGAGAAAATTGTTACTGATAATTAAATTTTTTAATTTTTGGAAATCAAACTCAGAAATTGCAACTTTGTTAGACTTATCGCGGTACAGTGTGAGAAATATTGCTAGAAAATATAACGTAACTGGCTCAGTTAATATTAAGCCACGATATGTGAAAAAAAGTAATATCACAAATGCCGACGGAAGAGCATTAAGAAGAATAGTCGTGAAAAACAGGCGTGCCAATTATTTACAATTAAGTACTCTGTGGAGTGACGCTGTTGGAAGGAGAATTTTGAGGTCCACAACTCATAGAGAGGCCCACAAACTGGGATTTAGCACTTACAAGGTATGTTTTCTTATAAAAAAAAGTGAAGTAAAAACCCTAAAGTTGCACAACTTGTTTATAGGCCAAAGAAAAGCCACTATTAACTCCACTGCAAAGGAAAAATCGGCTTAGATGGGCTAAAGAACATAGACAATGGACACCTCAACAATGGTGTGCAATACAATGGAGTGATGAGGCCCGATTCGAAGTTTGTGTTGGTGACAGCCGCAGTAGAGTTATTCGCAAAAAAATGAAGCATTCCATGTTGACTGTCCGAAGAGAAAAGTGAAATTTCCAGCATCTATTATGGTCTGGGGCAGTATGTCGTCAAAAGGAGTAGGAAAACATCATTTTATTGATGGAAATGTGGATACAAACAAATATTTGGCTATTTTAGAAAAATCGCTTTTACCAGTGATGGAAGAACGTTTGACATCCGGCCAAGATTTTGTGTTTCAGCAAGATGGTGCAGCGTGCCATACCTCAAAAAAAGCTATAAAATAGATGGAAGAAAATAATGTACCACTTTTGAAGTGGGTTTCTAGCAGTCCAGATCTGTCACCTATTGAAACTTTGTGGCACGAGATGAAAAAGGTTCTACGACAACATCCTGCTCGTACAATCACCGAACTGAGACAAAAGCTTCAAGAAATATGGGATTCCCGAAATCGCTTTAAAACTTGTATTTTGGCGAATTCGAAATTTATTAAGCCAACCAGAAGAAGCACTGAACGTAGAATGTCCTAGAGAATCGGCTATTTCTTTCGCTTTGCGTCGTATTACCGGACCTGAAAAATAAGTTTTTTTGCGATCTTTGGGATCCTGATAGCAGTCGCGATGTCCTGGCATTTAGGCTTCTGCCTGCGCTGCTGCTTCGGCGTGGAAAAAATAATTCTTGTCCGTCCATTTTTTTCATCTTAATCTTTTATCTTTTAATCTAGTATGAGAAAGAATCCGTTATTTTTTATGGCCAGACTTCTAGAGGGCGCCACTGTTTCGGTAACTAACTTATCATAACTTGTTTGGGCTACCCTGTACACACAACACAAAAGGTTTACTTGTTAGAAGTGTGTAGAGCTAATAGTTTTCGAGATATTTGTTTTTAAAAGTTCCAATGCATTATTTGTACCATGAAGATAAAACATTTTTATAACATAATAATCAAGTTGCTTTAGATGATATCTGAGTAGCGTTGATATGGTTTCTAATGTTTTTCATTATATTGCTTTAAACTTCATGAATAATTTTAAATTGACAATAAGTTGTTAAACGTTTGCAGACCTCCTAGCCTTTCTGTAAACCTGATAACAATTCTCCAATGAATCATATAGATTTGTATTAGGATTGCAGAAATGACAAGGAGTAGGTGCCAAAGACCAAATTTCGCGCCAACGTCACAGCTTTGGTAGAGTACCATTCTCATACCTCCTCGCGTTTCTGTGATCCTGATAACAACTCCTCGTCCACCAACTTCACGATAAAAGTCTGGTCGACCGTGCGATTTTCGGAAGCTTACAGATCTGTATCAGGATCGCAGAATAGGCAAGAAGTATCGATGCCATGGATCTGAATTTCGTGCTTATCTCATCTCATAGCAGGAGCAGGGTGGCATTGGCATACCTTCTCGCCTTTCTGTAAACCTGATAACAACTCTCCAATATACCAACTTTACGAAGCTGTGGTCGACAAGTGCGATATCCAGAATCATATAGATCTGTATTAGGATTGCAGAAACGACTAGAAATATAGATGCCAAAGATCAAAACTTCGCGCCAACGTCATAGCATTGGTAGAGTGCCATTCTCATACCTCCTCACATTTCTATGATCCTGATAGCAGCTCGTCGTCCACCAATTTTACGAGAAAGGTTCGGTAGACAGTGCGATTTTCGGATGCGTATAGATGTGTATCAGGATCGCAGAAACGGCAAGAGGTATCGATGCCATGGACTTGATGTTCGTGCTTATCTAATAGCAAGAGCAGAGTCGTATTTGCAAACCTCCTCGCGTTTCTGTGATCCTGATAGCAGCTCGTTGTCCACCAATTTTACGAGAAAGGTTCGGTAGGCAGTGCGATTTTCGGATGCGTATAGATCTGTATCAGGATCGCAGAGACGGCAAGAGGTATCGATGCCATGGATTTGAATTTCGTGCTTATCTCTTAGCAAGAGCAGAGTGGCATTTGCAAACCTCCTCGCGCTTCAGTGATCGTTATAGCAACACGTCGTCCAATAATTTTTCGAGAAAAGTCTGGTAGACTGTGATATTCGAAAGCCTGTAGATCTGTATCAGGATCGCAGAAACGGCAAGAGGTATCGATGCCATGGATTTGATATTCGTGTTTATCTAATAGCAAGAGCGTTTGATGAATATTCTGATATGCATTTAATGTACGGATTGGCAAGATGTAATGCTTTTTTGTTGTGGAAATACGAGAAAATAAGATTTTTCGGTCAGTTGTTGTATACAGGGTAGCACAAACAAGTTATGCTAAGTTAGTTACCAAAATAGTGCTGTAAGTGGTGCCCTCTAGAAGTTTGGCCATAAAAAATTACGGATTCTTGTTTCTTATACTAGAAAACCTCCCTATACCGAGTTTTATGCCAAAATCTGACATACTTCTCAAGCAATAAGGAAAAATAGAAAATAAAATTGTAACTTTGACACCCTGTATCTCGCAAACTATCAACTTTTGGACTAAGGTATGTTTAGGTGAATTCACATATTATGGTCTGTAGTATCTCCAGTTTCGAGATTTCCCAACCTTTCGCAGACACCCTGTATATTGGCCACCCTGTATTTATTTTACAGCAGTAATATTTCTTTGAAATAATGCCATTTTGGGACGAGGTTTTGATTGAACTAGTGCTGGACCTATACCAATTTCTGGTATCAAAGGTCTCTCTCTAAGGTTGATCGTTCTGATTTATGGAACGTGTATAATCTTTGTTTAGAATGAGCGAAGAATAAAAAATGATATTCCATTTTGTGTTGTCACATAATCATGGATCACTCTGTATAACTCAGCACCAATACCGTTCCACTGCACGTTGTATTCTCACGTATTGTTTCTGGAGCAGTTCGAGAGCGTATCACTCTCACATTAAAAACCACTGGAAAGCAGCCCTGGTTGAGAAGTCTTTGTCAGGTGTCAGGTTTCAGGTTAGATCGCGTAGGTTGACACTTTGTTGGTGGTTTGCTCCCGTTTTTTTTTTTCGCATTAATGACACAAAAATTCTTATGATTCGTTGAATGTTGTGCTTGCCTGGTGTTTTTAACAGTGTTTACTTTGAAAATGCAATAGATTGAGAATATCACAGCAGAGAGCAATTCATAGCAAAAGTAGATATTTTTCCGTTTTTTTTTTCAAACACTGTGCCACCGGTGGACCAGACATCTGTCCTTTTAATTCAACCGGTTGCTGCCATCACCATACAAAGCTGTCAACAGTGTCAACCATAAGCAGGGCATCCATCAGTGGTGGAATCAACCGGTGAATTAAAGAATCCACCTTTAGTCTTCCACAATTACAAATATACACAGTGACATTTGAAGTGTTACACCCAGAAAAAATAATTTCGTCAACTTGTTTTTTTTTTGCAACATAATGGCTATATTTAAAGCATGCTGTGGCGACGTCAACATTATATCTTTGTTTTTGTTTACCTCTGTTAAAAGCAATTTTTGAGAGCTGAGTAGTACAGAAATGGCCCTTTCATTTACTAGTGTTAAGCAAAACAAAACGCCTCGAGTTCTAAGACGTCCAAATTATCACCATGTTAGCGACTTTGACAGGGGTAGAATTATTATTGCCTATCGGATGTTGGTTTGCCCTATCGCGAAATTGGCGGCCGTGTTAATTGTACTGCAATGCCGGTAATGCGTGCGTGTCGTGTGTGGATAGAATCAGGTAGAGGAACATGAAAAAGGCCAACTGGTCCGCCGATCGTACCACAGAGCGTCAAGATAGACTCTTCGGACAGTTAGCCCTACGAGTCGCTTTTGCTACTATGCGTCAGATCGTTGACCAATGGTTTGGAGAAGCGGGTAGACCTGTTACTATGCGTACACTCCATCGCCGCATTCGAGCCTTTGGACTTCTCATACCGTCCACGGTTAATGCTTCCCCTGACTGCGGACCACTGTCATCAAGTTTGAACTGCAGCAGAGAACTGCAATATTGGGAGGCAGTATGGCATAATGTCATCTTCAGCGACGAATCGCGATTCTGTCTAGGTGAACGGCGTGATATTGGATTTGCTGTTGGGAGGCATGTACACAGGATTGCGTGTTATGCTGATGATGTCCTACAAATCACTTTACTGCCGTATCCCCATATTGCCTGTCGTACTACGGACTTTCTTCAAGAAGTAGCGATGTTTTGCCGTGGCCACTTCGTTCACCGGATTTAAATACCATAGGATATGATGGGGAGGAGAATATCTACTTTGCACCATCCGCCTCAGACTCTACCACAGCTAATTCACGAAGTTCGAGTTGCTTGGAATGAGGTTCCACAACTAGACATCGATTATCTCATTTTCTCGATGCCTAGATGTATACAGGGGTGTATTCAGCTGCGGGATCGCCCAACACATTATTAACTTTTTCTTATTACTTGTCAATAAAACTTCGTGAGAATGTTATCGTTTCTGGTGTAACACTGAGTATGTCCGCAAAGTTGGGGTTTTCCTTTACACGACGTGTAGATCTTGAAAACATAAGCAATTTTTCTTAGTACCATATACACCAATGTCTTAAGGGAACCGAGATAAAGGGCTCTGCAACATCAAAAATATCTGAATACCGTCCTGTAGCCGCGACCCGCGACATCCCCGAGTGGTACTAGGACACTAGCTCAACCCGACGACAGAACTGGGTCGGGGTCAGTGTGTCAGGTCAGTATGCAACCTTCAACCGACGGTTACGGTCACGCGTGTCGAGGTAAACGAACCCGTATAATCGATTGCGTTTCAAAAAAAAAATAAAAATGGCACACTCATACACCAATAATTAACTCGTTGATATGTTGTTAATTTATGGCGAATGTCTTAAAAAGCTACAGAGGCTTCGCGAGTGTATGCAGATCGTTTCCCTAGACGACATCATCCAAGGCCCCGCAGATTTGTGTACCTAGTCCAGAGAGTCAGGGATACGGGCCATTTGGAGGAATTTCGAGGTGGGCACAGTGGGAGGCCTAGACAACCACGAATGGTGCAAGTTGAGGAAGAACTACTGAATCGCGTAGACGAGAATCCCCCAACAAGCACTAGAGACGTGGCTAGAGAAGTGCAAGTATCAAAAACTAAAGTGTGGCAAACGCTGCGTGAAGAGGGGCTGTATCCGTTTCACGTCCAACGTGTACAAGCCCTTCAACCTGACGATTTTTCAGCAAGAGTGCGGTTTTGTGAGTGGTTGTTGCATCAACATGACAATAATCCGGACTTTTTGAAGTGCATATTGGTGACAGACGAATCTACGTTCACGCGCAATGGGGTGAATAACTTTCGCAACACTCATGTTTGGTCAGTATAAAATCCGCACGCTGTCCGTCGGGCACATTTTTAACAAACATTTTCGGTGAATGTTTGGGCTGGCATGGTGAACGGTATGCTCATTGGACCATTTATTCTTCCAAATCGATTGGACGGGATGCAATACCTAGACTTTTTACGCAACATTTTGCCTTCCTTGTTTGCCTGTGTCTGGTCGGTAGCGCATCAGCTGATTTCATTTTCTGTTGGAGCGGTATGATTTCGGGCAGAGACGTACTTAGCCCTTCTCGTCAACTGGAGAGTGAGTACTTTTTCCTTTATTTTTTTTTACTTGGTCGCCCTCGTTTCACTACACATTACCTTTGTTATTTCAAGGGTAGTTGTTTCTGAAAAGGAAAACCCCAACTTTGCGGAGCTGTAGAGCTCTTTTATAAACGTTCTTAAATAAAATTGCATCAATACTCCACCTCTTTTTTTTATACACATATTATTGGTTAATATTATGTTGCCGATTGCAAAGAATATTTGCGACCGCTGACATGATACGCGGCAACACCGGTACTCCTGAACACGGAACACTAAAATCTCCTTCATCGTTTTACTTGGGAAATTCATATGCGGTTTCCTCCGCACTATTCAGTCATAGATGAAAAAAAAGATTTAAAAAACAACGTTATCAATGACATTTTACTAAATCTTACAAATGCGCTCCGATAAGTATTCAGCTTGCAAAAGAAAGTTTTGGAAAAGTGGCGATTTATTTCTCAACACATACTAATATTTTATATAGCCCAGCTATGGCGCAAGCGCCTCGTTCCCGTAGCATCTGGATGCTGATCATAAAGAATTTTGTGAACTCTCTGACGCCGCGCCAGTTCAAGGGTACTCACATGGGCACTGACTACTTCGGAAACAAGTATTACGAGATAGCGGCAAATGCAACGCTGGGAAGGCGCAGGCAAAGGTGGTTTGACCCACCTGTCAAAGATGACTTCATGCAAGAGATGCCTGCAGAATGGGAAGCATGGTTAAGAGGTAGGTGTTAATTGAATGATTTTGAGACACTGTGTAAAATTCATGAATCGAAAACTAGGATTTTGTTTAAACTTTTACAGGGTGGTCCAATGAAAAGGTCGCACCCTATTTGTGACGCTCCTGGTATATGTTGGGGAAAACGCTTGGACATGTCAATTTTCATTTTTCTAGGGGGACGTCTTTTCATCTATAGCCGTACAAGACAAGGCGATTCAAAAATAAGATATTGCGTTACACTTTAGATTTTTAAATATAAACTCCCATTTTTTGATTTTTAGATTTGGTTTTTGCTAAGTTTTGTACAATAAAGTTTATACCTATCTTCAATCGTTGTAAAGCTATTTCAGTTTTTAATAAAATTCTAGTTGTTATAATAAGGAATTATATCGTAAAAATAATAATCAATATATACTAAGTGACATATAAATCCGAACACCCAGTTTAAATGGTTTTATTTTAATAAAAGTTGGTGAATGTATTTATCTTACTATAAATAACAAGTGAAAAAATGTTCAGCCTTATCAGTTGGACATTCCGGTTTTTATACTGCTTTTTTTAATTCACTAACGCTCTAAAAATGAATATTTCAGCCGCAGTAAAGAATCAACGTTGGCGGATTTTGGTTCTTGACATCCTTTACGATCGGTTACGATGCCTAGAGTACGGAGACCGGTACGATTTCGTCAACTTAGTGAGTTTGATAGGGGCCGTATAGTGGGACCTCGGGAAGCTGGACTTTCTTTTCGGGCAATTGCAGTTAGAGTGCAAAGAAGTGTAGACACTGTGGTTAGGTGTTGTCAGGCATGGCTTCGAGAAGGCCGTACGCAAAGAGCAAGGGGCACTGGACGCCGCCGTAGAATAACAGACCGTGAAGATCGTCGCCTAAGATTATTGGCCTTAAGGGACGTTTCTCCACTACTAGGTCCATTGCAAATGAATGGTTTGCAGAACACGGAAGACCTATTGGCATGCGAAGTGTTTACCGACGAATGAGAAGTTTCGGCTTGTTTTCGTACCGGCCACACTGGGTCCTCCCTTTAACTCGAGAACACCGACGTAATCGCCTTGAGTGGTGCAGACAACGGTCACTCTGGGGTTAGGAATGGAACAGTATTGTCTTTAGTGATGAGTCTCGATTTTGTTTAGGCATGCACGATGGTCGTGCCAGGGTTAGAAGGCGACGTGGTGAAAGGAAGAATCCACAGTTTTTTGTTGAAAGACATGTTCATCACACTGTTGGAGTTATGGTTTGGGGTGCTATAGCTTATGGTTCCAGGTCACCTTTAATCTTCATCAGAGGTAACATGAACGCGCAGCGTTATATCCACGAAGTTCTAGAACCCCATCTTTTACCCCTTTACGTGTGGGATATGATGGGTAGGAGATTGCTCAATTTGCAACGTCCTCCTCAGACTCTAGAAGCACTTCGAGAGGAGTTGGTGGTTGCCTGGAATGAGATACCACAGGAGGACATTGACCACCTGATCAGAAGCATGCCTAGGCGCGTTGGAGAATGCGTAGCACATCAGGGTGCATCCACACATTATTAAAGGTCAAAGGACTTTAAAGCAGTGCAATCATTTTGAAATTTTTATCATTTACTTATTATGCTTCATTAAGTACCTATACAAAATTTTATTATAATAAAACGATGTAAACTGGGTGTTCGGATTTATATGTCACTTAGTATAGTTCCCATACTAACAAGACTTAACTTTAAAATTAAAAATAAATCTTCGAATATCAGAAAAAAGACAACTTACAGTTTACACGCACATTAAAGTAAAAATTAATTTACTGTAATGTAATAAGTACTGTGTGTCCATTTACCTCCATGCAATAATAAAGATTTTGTTCGAATCTATTTCTCACATTTTTAGGCATGTCTTGAGTTATTTGTCTACGAGGGCGGTTGGAGACAAATGCTATAGATGGCGCGCATGTATGTCTTAAAGGTCGTGGATTGAGCATGTGATAGCAGGGTCCCTTACGAACGTGTGGCACATTTTTGCATCACCCTGTATTGTGCGGCTATAGATGGAAAATATACCAGGAGAGTCACAAATGGGGATGCACCCTTAGTTGGGCCACCCTGTTTACCAGGTTTGTCAAATTTGACCTTCACCATTGGGTTCTTTTCCCGAAATGTTTTAGTTTTTTCCTGACTTTATTTGTATTGGGATGTTAAGATAAATTGCACATTAACATTTTCACGTTTTCTCCTCTACAAGATGGCATAATTAGAATTTCAATGTGACGTTTTGTATCTTGTTCTCCAGCATCAACTTTTATGTGGGTTTTCCGCCACATCAAGCAAAAATAATACTGGACGAGGTAAAATGTCTAATTATGAGTACAAACCTGGTTGAAAAAAGTTGATATTTGTAGAAATGGCACAGGATTAACTGAATATAATCCAGTTTTTCAAAAAAATATAAGACATAAAACAAAATTGTACCATATAGTAGGCCATCACGTGCCTATATACAGTTGCAGGATTATCCTTCAATCTCCGGATATCCTGATCAACTCACTTTGAAGTTATTAGTCAAACAAATCGGCCACCACGTAGTTGTTTATCCTACGGTTCATTATAGTCATTTTTGACATATTTTCTTTGCAGGCAGGAGGAAAGAACCTCCAAGTGAACAAGAGGTTTTGAAAAACTTGGCAATCATGCAAATGAAGAAGAAGAATGCTATAGCTGTGGACGCGAAAGGTGGGGAAATGACACCCATGAAGAAAGGTGTCGAGACGTTTCCTAAGAGAATTGATTATGAAACGGTACCTGGAAAACGTGACCAGTAACGTCATGCTCGTGATGACTTTGTAAATATAATTTTCATTGTTGGTGATATAGTTTAGTAGAATACATAGAATACAGTCTATTAAACTTTTTATTTCATTAAAATCAATTGTTTTAGATACCTACTCGTGGTGGTAATAATTTGTAACGTTATCTTTCAAAGCTTTCCCGACCCTGTCACTGTCAATGTCAAAACTTCATCAAAACGGTACTTTTCGAGTTATTCGCTGGGCGCGTGATGACAGCTCCAGCTCCTCTAGCGATCGCAATAAATGACGGGCTCGAAATATTTGTGCATGTAATAATAATACCCCCACGGTTTTTTTATACCGAAGCAGCCGCACAGGCAGAAGCCTAAATGCCGGGACGCCGCGGCTGCGATATACTATACAGGGTGTAAAACATTTTAGGAGGTGATAGTACAGCTCTTTTGCTATCAAAATTAGTATATGATACCATACCCTCTATTCAAAGGTTAAAGAGTTATGGAAGATTTAATTTTTTTTTAATAAAACAACCCAGATTACAGAGTAAAATAGTTGAGATAAAAAAAAGTTGGTGATTAAACATTATTTTTTTGGTGGTTTCAGGTTATTATTTAAATAAAAAAATTCTCATAAATTAAAAAACATATGAAAACACTACTGAAAATGTATCTATTATCATTTAAATGTTAAATGAAAAATTTTATTTTCAACTTTCACATTAAGTCTTTTTTTTCAAAAAAATCATAATAAAGAAAATGTACAAATAACTGCAAAAACTTCCTCGTTTCATTAGGTTTCTAAAATGGTATAATAACATATCAGTAAGTAAACCATTTAACAAAACTATATTACTTTGCTAGAAAGGACCGCTAAGCGCATTTCATTGTACTGAGCAGGTAAACCGAGCCTTTCATGGTTTGACCCTTTTTGTTATTTTTTGTGCCCTGTGCCGTTATTCGGGTTTAAGTATTCGGAATCTGTCGTCGCTCCTCGGAAGTAAGCTCTGCGTGTGTTATGAATTGACACAGCTGACGGATCAAGGAAAGGGAACTAACGCTCAGATTAGTTAGTAGAATATCAACCTTTAACGCGGTAGGACGTACTTTTACTTTTTTTATCAGTTTTAATAATGGCGAGTTACCGTAACGAAGAATACGCTGATATTCTGTTTTGTTATGGTTTAAGTGATGGAAATTCCGTTGACCAACGCGTCAAGGAAAGTGGACAGGTTCATGAGATACGTCATGATGCTGGTAGACCTCGGTTGTTTGACGACGAAGATCGAGAGGCAATACTGGAATGCTACGGCAGAGATCCGACGACGTCTACACGAGTTATAGCAAAGCAGCTTGGTTTAACTCAGTGGAAAGTTTGGTTCGTTTTGCATTCGGCGAGACTTTACCCTTTCCATTACACACCGGTTCAAGTATTAGAAGAAGGAGATCCCGCAAGAAGAATTGATTTTTGTCGATACATGCTTCATCGGGATCAAGAAGAAAACGACTATTTAACTAAAATATTGTGGATCGACGAGTCTAAGTTTGATAGAGAGGGGACAACAAGTTATCACAACTTACATTATTGAGCCCCACGAGAGGCAAATCCCCACATGGCAAAGCCAAGAGCCCATCAAAGAAGATTTTCGGCAAACGTGTGGATGGGAATCATTCATACGTATCTAATTGGACCAGTTTTTTTGCCTGACAACCTGAATGGCGAATCCTATGAAAACTTTTTGAGATCCGAACTCTGGGAGTATCTCGATGGCTGTCCCGCGCATTTCCGTCTGGGTGTTAGACAGTGGCTGGACGAGAAATATCCTATGGTATTATATACTAATTTCGATAGCAAAGGGGCTGTACTATCACCTCCTAAAATGTTTTACACCTATTTACCTGTCACCCTGTATATGGTATTTACTTTTCTCGTTTTAACCCAGATTCAAAAGAAGATACATGGGGAGCGTCGCTCCTACGGCCTTAGGCAGGGAGTTCGTGGTTCGATAATCTTGTTGATTTTACCAAACGCTGGACTTACCTTCCTCTTCCACTTCCTCCCTCTCTTTTCTCATCCATCTTCCTCTTGTTCCATGATATATATTCATGCAAACCTTTGATAGATGCTTTTCTGTAATGTTATTTTTTTTTTCGAGAAAAGTCTGGTCGACGTGCAATTTTCAGAAGCCTATAGATCTTTATCTGGATCGCAAAGACGGCAAGATGTATCGATGCTATCGATTTGAATTTCGTTCTTATCTCATAGCAGGCGCATAGTGGCATTTGTACACCTGATAACAATTCTCCAATCTATCAAGTTTACGAAGAAGCTGTGGTCGACAGTACTATATTCAGAAACTTATAGATCTGTATCAGGATTGCAGTAACGTCTAGGAGCATAGATGTCAAAGATCAAGATTCCGCGCCAACATCATAGCATAAGTAGAGTGCCATCCACATTCCATATCTCCTCGGGTTTCTGTGATCCTGATAGCAACTCGTCGTCCACCAATTTTACGAGAAAAATCTGGACGACAGTGCGATTTTCAGAAACATATAGATCTGTATCAGGATTGCAGAAACGATGAGCATCATAGATGCCACGGAACCAAATTCGCGCGAGTATCCTAGATAAAACAGCACGTTTCACATACCTCCTTGCGTTTCTGTGATCCTGATAGCAAGACACCGTCCATCAATTGTACGAGAAAGTTCTGGTCGACAGTGCAGTTTTCAGAAACTGTATCAGGATCGCCGAAATAGCAAGATGCATCGATGCGATAGATTTGAATTTCGTGCTTATCCCATAGTAAGAGCAGAGTACCATTTACACACCTCCATCTCGTTTTTGTGAACCTGATCACAAGTCTCCAATCTACCAAATTTATGATGAAAGCGTGATGGGCAGTGTGACTTTAAGAAACTTATAGATCTGCACCAGAATCGGAAAAACCACAAGGAGCATAGATGCCAAGGATCCAAATTTCTTGTGAATATCATAGAGAATGGTATTAATCATATACCTCCTGGCCTTTCTGTGATCCTGATAGCAAGTCACCGTCCATCAATTGTACGAGAAAAGTCTGGTCGGTAGTGCAGTTTTCAGAAACCTATAGATCTGTTTTAGGATCAAAAACTGCAAGGGGTATCGATGCTATGGATTTGCATTTCGTTCTTATCTCATACCAGGAGCAGAGTACCATTTTCTATACCTCCTCGCGTTTCTGTGATTCTCATAGCAATTCGCCGTCCACCAATTTTACGAGAAAAGACTGGGCGACAGTGTGATTTTCAGATCTGTATCAGCATCGCAGAAACGGCAAGAGGTATCGACGCTGAGAATTTGAATTTCGTTCTTATCTCATAGCAGGAGCAGAGTACTATTTGCGTACCACCTCGCGCTTCTGTGAACCTGGTAACAAGTCTCCAATTTAATGATTTTACGAAGGATCTGTGGCCGACAGTGCGATATACAGTTACATTGAGATGTGATTGCAGAAATGACTAGGAGCATATATGTATATGCCAAAGATAAAAATTTCGCGCCAACATCATAGCATAAGCAGAATACAATTCATATACTATGTCTCCTCGTGTTTCTGTGATCCTGATAACAACTGGTCGATTGCCACTTTTACGAGAAAAGTCTGGTCGATCGTACGATTTTCGGAAACCTATAGATCTATATCAGGATCGCAGAAACGGTAAGAGGCATTGATGCCATGGATTTGAATTTCGTTTCTGATAACATAATTATATAATATAATTATTTCGTATCTCTCTCATTTTTGAAATTCATCAAATTTGCATATGTAGCTTTGAATTTGAGACAAGAATCCAATGGAATTATCATCAATACATACAACTTACAGCTTAGACCTCCAGTAATGGCATCTCTGAAGCAGATTTTAATAATAATAATAATAATGTTTATTTCCAACAGGCAGATAGACCCAATTACAGGAAATATCAATAAATATCAATTAAGCACAGTAAACAGATACATAGATAAGAATTCTAGTATATAGGTAAGTAATAATCATCCATAATATTCTACGTTAGAAGTTCTTCAAGGTAAAGTTCAATATCGCGAGATTTAGTGACATTAAATATGTCGCAGTTACTGATACTATTGACTATTGTACACATCCTATGCACAGGAGACTTGGACAAGACATTGGTATGGCAGAAATCATAGTAAAATGTGGCACAATAACGGTTACCTAAGCGAGGAACTTTAAAACGTATCTTACTTAGAATATATGGACAGTAAACCTTATTGTGGCATCTCTGAAGCAGATTTTACATCACATCAGAACCAAACATTGATAACTGAAGCCTAATGACATTTAGGCAACACGTACAACTAAGTGCTAAGTTAACATCTTGTAGAAAAACCTACATAATGTCAAAAAACAGTATAATGTCAGACAAATGGATATAACGTCACTTTTCAAGATACGTAATATCCGTGCAGAGTACCATTCGTATACCTCCTCGCGTTTATGTGAACCTGATATGAAGCCTCGAACCTATCAATTTTAGGTCTGTATCAGAATTGCAGAAACGACGAGAGGAGCATAGATGCCAAGAATTCAAATTCGCGTTAGTATCATAGATAGAGCACATGACGATTCACCTACCTCCTCGCGTTTCTGATATCCTGATAGCAAGTCACCGTCCATCAATATCACGATAAAAGTCTGTTCGACAACACAATTTCCAGAAACATGTAGATCTGGATCAGGATCGCAGAAACGGTAAGAGGTATCGATGCCATGGTTTTGAATTTTGTGGTTATATAACAGCAGGAGTACAGTACTGTTTGTATACCTCCTCGCGTTTCTGTAAACCTGATAACAATTCTCCAGTCTACCAATACTCGCCAGCAACATAATGCGCCAGCTTTTAGCCCCTTTTAGAGGCTGTGGTCGACAGAGCGAGTTCAAGAAACGCGTAGGTCTGCATGAGGATCGCAGGAACTACGAGGAGCATAGAAGCCAAGGATCCAAGTTTCACGCCAGTATCATAAACAGAGCATACTTCCTCGAGGTTCTGTGATCCTGATAGCAAGTCACCGTCCATCAATTTTACGAGAAGTCTGGTCGACAGAACCAGAACCCTATCGATCTG